TCAGGGCCCCCACAGTGTCATGCAGGGGGTGAGAGGGGTTGTCCATGATGGATGTCAGTTTCACTAACATCCTCCTCTCACCCACCTCCTCTACAGAGTCCAGAGGACAGAACTGGTCCTCCTGACCAGTCTGTTCAGTCTCTTCCTGTCTCTCTCTGTGCTCCCTCCTCCCCAGCAGACCACTGCATAGAAAAGTGCAGACGCCACCACAGTGTCATAAAAAGTCTGTAGCAGAGTCCTGCACACTCCAAAGGACCTCAGTCGCCTCAGCAGGTGAAGTCGACATTGGCCGTTCTTGTACAGGACGTCGGTGTTGTGTGACCAGTCCAGTTTGTTGTTGAGGTGAACACCCAGGTATTTGTACATCTCCATCCTCTCGATGTCCAAGCCCTGGATGTTCACCGGTGCAGTCTGGGGTGACTTCCTGCGGAAGTCAATCACCATCTCCTTTGTCTTGCTGGCGTTGAGCTGAAGGTGGTTGAGCTCACTCCAGTCGACAAAGTCCATGATGACCTGCCTGTACTCCTGTTCGCTCCCCTTAGACACACACCCCACGATGGCTGTGTCATCGGAGAACTTCTGCAGGTGGCAGCTCCCAGAGTTGTAGCAGAAGTCCGAGGTGTACAGGGGTGAAGAGAAAAGGGGAGAGAACTGTCCCCTGCGGGGCCCCTGTACTGCAGACCACCATGTCAGACTCACAGTCCTGAAGCCTCACGTACTGTGGTCTGTTGGTGAGGTAGTCCGTTGTCCATGCAGCCAGGTGACAGTCCACTCCCGCCCTCTGTAGCTTCCCCCTGAGCAGTGCAGGCTGGATGGTGTTGAAGGCACTGGAGAAGTCAAAGAACATGACCCTCACAGTGCTGCCGGTGTTCTCCAGGTGAGTCCAGGATCTCTGCAGCAGGTAGATGACGGTGTCATCCACCCCGATGTTCGGCTGTTAGGCGAACTGCAGAGGATCCAGATTTGAAGTCACCAGGGGGCGGAGGTTGTTGAGGACGATCCTCTCCATGGTCTTCATCAGGTGAGAGGTGAGGGCCACAGGTCTGAAGTGGTTAGGCTCCCTGGGGTGAGATGTCTTTGGGACTGGCACCACGCAGGAAGTCTTCCACAGGGTCGGTACCCTCTCCAGTCTCAGGCTCAGGCTCAGGTTGAAGATGTGCAGAAGAACCTCACAGAGCTGGTCTGCACAGTCCTTCAGGAGTCTGGAGCTGATGCCATCGGGACCTGTGGCCTTCCTCGCCTTGATCTTCCTCAGCTGGCTTCTCACCTGATCAGCTGTTATGGAGAGGCCGTCGGAGGAGGAGGAAGAAGAGGAGGGGGTTGTTGGGGGGTCGTCTGAGGAGGAGGAGGAGACGGCTGTTTAGGGGGGTGGCAGGGTACTCAGGGTACTCAGGGTACTCAGATGGAGTGTCTGAGAAGCAGGCTGGTCTGCGCTCTGGTGGGTGGGGGTGGGGTTGGGAGTAGAATCAAATCTATTGAAGAACAGATTCAGTTCATTTGCCCACTCCCTGTCTCCTGCTTCAGGGCCCCTCCCACGCCTTCTGCTGTGACCTGAGATGTTATTCAGGCCCCTCCAGACTTCTCTTGCATTTTTATGTTGTAAATGCTCCTCCATCTTTTCCCGGTAGCTGGCTTTCCCCTCCTTGATTTTTCTCTTGAGCTCCTTCTGCACCCTCCTCAGCTCCTCTCTGTCTCCAGATCTAAAAACCCTTCTCTTTTCATTGAGCAGGGTTTTCAGCTCAGGGGTCACCCAGGGTTTGTTGTTGGAGAAACACTGTATTTTTTGGTGGGTACAGTGTTCCCAACACAGAAGTTTATGTAATCTGTGATGCAGTGAGTTAAACCGTCGATGTCCTCCCCATGTGGGCTGCACAGCACCTCCCAGTCAGTGGTGTCGAAGCAGTCCTGCAGCGCCTCAGTGGCCTCCTTAGACCACTTCTTCACATACCTGGTTGTGGGGGGTGTTTTTTCACCATAGGTATGTAAATGGCTGCAGTCTCACCAGGTTGTGGTCTGAGCGGCCCAGGGGGGGGAGGGGTGATGATCTGTATGCATCCTTGGACTGCACTGTTTGCATACAGTAAGTCCAAAGTTTTATTGTCCCTGGTATGGCAGTCAACATACTGAGTGAAAGTAGGGAGAGTGGCAGACAGGGAAGCGTGATTAAAGTTTCCTGAGATGAGAAGAAGAGACTGGGGGTGCGATGTCTGTAGCTGAGATATTACACTGTGGATGAGTTCACAGGCTGCAGCAGCGTCTGCCGAGGGGGGGATGTAAACAGTCACCACAATGACGTTTGAAAACTCCCTCGGCAGATAATATGGCCGAATGCTTACAGCCAGCAGCTCCACATCCTTAGTGCAGCGCTGTTCTTTAACGGTGATGTGCCCAGAGTTACACCACCTCTCATTCACATACATCGCTATTCCCCCGCCTTTCTTCTTACCGCTGTTGTGTGTATATGACCATGTTTAGCAATTTTAAGCCCCTCAAATAACAATTGACAACGCGTCCATAAGGGAACAGCTTTTGGGGCAGGCCTTTGAGCTTCGAAAGGTCGTATAGCCAAGGTCTTGGATGGTCAAGAGCGATTTTGAGGAAGATATAAACAACTGTGTAGCAATGGCAAATGCAAATAAAATAGTGCTCAGAAGTAGTAACTTCCTGTTGTCAACAGTGTGTTTTTAATCAGTCAACTGTGACTGATTAAAAACTAAAAAAAAATGTATTGATGTGTTCAGGGCGGGCTCTTTGCATGCATGAATTTTTTGGTGATGATTGAACACTGCATAGTACAGTTATAAACATTTTCTGTTTTTGGCGCAATGCCAAAAACAATATCAAACTTTGACATCACGCCACGGCCACATCTTATTTCGACACCTCGTGATTTGAGCACAACTTTTATTCTTCAACTTGTCTACTTTCATTTGACACCAAACTTGAATTGATCAGATAAACGCTCTCGGGCGGATGCTTTCAAACAGGTACCCTTTAAACGGAGAAAATATGGTGTTTTTTGACATTCAAAAAAAAAAAAAAAAAAAAACCTCCTGTTGACATTAGACGATGACTTCCACTGACTTTCTCTGCATTTTCAACATGGGTAGGGTAGGGTTAGGGTTTTCATGTAGGTAGGCGCTGTTGAGCTATTTTGCATTGCACTTGTACGGACACACTATAATACATAAATTTCTTGTGCCCTTAAAAGAGACGATCTCACCAAAATCCAGGTAGAATGAATACTCTGTTCCATTGTTCCAGCCCGACCATGCGTATCCGAGCACAAGTGAGGAGACGCGGAAGGGATTTTGTTTTTAGTCCTTTTGACCAAACACACACAGACGTGCAGTGCTGTTTTCCTTCTATAAAACACTTTTACACCACACGACTATGATTTTTATCGCAGCTGCAGAAAAGTTTTTCCTGGCGCTACACCTTTCTGTCATTTTCCCCTCGGCTCACTGATTCTCCTCCCTCTCCCCTGCACCACATCCTGCCTTTATAACATTGGTAATTTTACATTTCACACCGGCTGATTGATCCCCACACATACATTATTTGTATCAATGGAATATTTGCTTACATAGTACTTAAATGATACAAATGTTTCAATAACTGTAGGCATACACCTTTGTTTTTGTTTCTTTGAAATACCCCAATACATCATTTTTTACAGACACTTAAACATTTTGTGGCGATGTCACAAGACGCTTTAGAGAGGTTAGCTGTTGGAGCCGATAATTTATATTTACAGAGCGTCAGCTGTGGGTGTCAAGGTAAAGAAATATGCTAAATAAAAGGGGGTTTTAGATCTTGTGAGAAATTCCCACAAAGAAGCAATAATAACCTTTGAGAGGAAGAAATGTGAGAATTACTCCACTTCCTCTTTCTCATGTTTCACTTTCCAAACACTATGACCGATAGTAGCTATAGATCCTGAGCTTGTGTATATCCTCTTTTTGTTACAGAATGAAATAACTAGTTCATAATCACAAAACTATTTACTATCTTACTATGTCTTAGTTATCACTGAATGAACTGAGGAGTCCTCAGAGGAATTTTGAGTGACGCAGTTGATTGAGAGCCTGTGCAGTCTCCTAGTTTTACAAAGTCATGGATGACCAAACAAACAAAACAGCTGAGATGTTTTAAGAGAAGTGCGTTGAGACCAAGTCTGGAAATTGGTGTGGTAGCTGGAGAGGTGTCAGTCCATGTGCCCTTGAGCAAGGCATCTGAGGAGAGTTGCTCAGTTTACAAGATTACACTTTGAAAAAACAACAACAGTTAAACTTTAAGTGTTAACTGTTTAACTGTTAAAGCAACTTCCAACAGATAGAGAGAGGAAGCAGCAGGCATGGCACCAAATCCTAAATAGAGTATTGTCTGCACTGTAGTGGCAACCAAAGCAAACGCCAAACATACAGGTATATCCCTGATTGGTTGTGGGTGACCAATGGTGCAACTAACCAGCTGATCATTATTTTCTCAACAGCACTCTAATCCTGCCGTGTGTGTGATGATGTGCAACAATTGCACAAAGTCTGCCATGTCTCTATACCTCAAATGAAAAAAAACAAAATCGACTCTAGCAAGGACGCCTTTTTGTGGGAATGCAACATCTGGAGGAATATGGTGGCCTGCGAGTGATGGGGGTTACAGAGTGTAGGTCACAGAGAGAAGGTTAAGGATTGAACCCTCCATTTGTCTGGGGCCTGTTCTGTGTGCAGTCTGAATGTCCTCCCTGTGCCTGAGTAGGGTGTACTCATGCTTCCTCCCATAGTTCACAGACGTGCTTGTTCGGTTGTGACTGAATTTCCCTTTAGTGTACAAGTAGCCTTATAGGAAATACCGGGACTTCACAGAGTCTGCCTGTGACCACTTAACCAACCATTGTGATTGTACGTTTCCAGGAGTACTGTGAACGCATCACAAACACACAGTCGCAAACCACAAAACGGAAGCTAGGTGTGACATATATAGAGAGACAGGTTTTAATTGTCAGCAGCTCGGTAGTTGTGTTTCCTGTTTCTGGAGCTTTCTGGAGGCGCACTTTAAATGCATCCGTCCCGGTGACGGCTTCTACACGACCACAGCAGGAGACGCCACAGACATGGTAAGTCCATAAAGACTGTTTGATAATATGTTCAACATGACTTTCATAACACCGAACAGTTTCCACAAGAAGAGAGAAGAGAAGACAGAGAGAGGAGAGTTTGTTCTAGCTGCTGAAAAACGAGCTCAGGAAGGTCAAAGTTGGCAAAGAGGACACTGTAGGCGATGTCACCTGTGACGTCTCCCTTTCTACCTGTTGACAGTCTATGCTATTTTAAATGTTGAGGATTGATTCAGAAAAGAGCAGTGAAGGGCAGGCTGTTAGGCTAGAAGAGAGTTTAGCTTCGGGTCTGAACAACTTTTAATCAAACTTCAATTAACGAACTTACATTTCTAAAAGTAAAACACATATTCAGCATTCAAAAGTGTCACTTCCATAATAAGCCTCTACACTGAAAGAAAATAAGATGCATGACAGAGACACTACAGGGTTAAAAACAAAGACCTGTTATGTGTAATAATTAGGGTCAGACCGATGTGGGAGTTTTGGGGCCGATGTTGGGGAAAAAAGCTGCTACGTATCAGCCGATATCTTTCTAAGATCTATGTTTGATCTGTAGAGATAAATAAATATAGATATACACATTTATTGTGTCTAACCCTCAGATATCAAAAACTTTATAAAGAAGACAAGATATTCACTCAAATGTAAAGTAACTGAGCATGTACGTTCATCACCGCTCAGATTGAGATTCTTACCTCAGGAGACCCCCCCCTAGATATAATCTAGATATTATCCGGAGTGCAGATGTGAAAACGGCTTTAGATATGCTGATATCAGCCGATTAATAGGTCAGGCTCTAATGACAATAATAAGAGCCTGGAGAGCAATTAAAGGAAATAAAACAGAGGAGAGAGATGAAAGCTTTTATAATGTGACAAATAACAAAAAAGAAATATGAAATAAGATAACAGAATATGGAACATGATCATAATAAGACGATATCAAATAAATAAATGTTGCCTGGTTCCCTGGTTAGTGCCAGGTAGGCCGACATGAACACAGACAGGAGGGAGGAAAGGGAAGGAGTGAGTGAGGGGAGGAAGGAAGCAAGGAGGGGTACTGGAATGGGCAGCAGTTCCTGTGAAAAGACGTCGCCAGCTGACTGTTAAACACAAACTCTTTTCTTTAAACTGGGTAACTGGGTCATTCATTGTTCACTGTCTAACCCCTTCAATTCATTAAAGTCTATGAATCCTGACTTCCTGTGGATAGTAGACCAACAGTATACCTTCAGTAGACCTTCAGTAGACCTAAAGCAGACCCTCAGCACTTTAAAGAGAAGTGAGAGTGAATTATGAGCCAAAGCAGAAAGCGTTCTTGTTTTGTTCTATCTGTTGGTTTCCTGTTCCTGTCAACATCTGAGACGGGGGTTTCCTCTCATTACTCAGGATACAAATTGCATTACGCTCTAACTGCTCTCTGCATGTCCTGCTCCTGGCTTCTTATCAGCCTGGATCTACTGTTGTTTGTCTTCTGCCCCCTCCATGGGGTGCTTTCTTTTTCCACTTCTGCTGCCACCACACTTTCTGCTGAACTGGGAAAGCCTGTTCTTCTTCATTTTACTTGAATGATAAATTATTAATCTCTCTGTACTGAAGACTTAAGTTCAGCTGCTCTTATTTTGTTTCTTGTTCTAGATCCACTCTGATCCTGTATTTGATCATGCCTATAAACCCCTCTATTTCAACCCTGCTCAGAACAGGCTATTTCTGTGTCTGTATCTTTAAATATGTAAATGAGCTGTGTCTGACCATGCCCCCCTCTCTGGAAGGGCTTGGGTGTCTCGGTCTTTCTCACTCCATGTCCTATTGTTTACGGTGAGAAGTCAGACTCAGAGGGCAGAACAAACACCTAGCTGTGGGAGTGTCACCCACCTGGGGGAGGGGCTACTGCTATTTGTGATGTCATGAAGGGAAAATCTCCAAACAGCCTGTTTGAGCACACATTTTCTGAAAAGTGGAGCAGGCAAAAGACAGAGAGGATGGACTTTTCTCATCATTGGGGGGTTTATAGACAGACTAGAGACACATAATAGAGTTAGAGGAACATGGTGGAGAGGATTTTGTATAATATGTGACCTTTAAATCGTGCACATGTCTGAACAACTAGATCTGAGATGAGCATGTTGCTGACGTTTTGGAGAAAATGGCCGCTGTATAAGGAAGCGTGAACTACTTCTGAAAGCTGCCGTACTGTTGCTGTTTGTGCTGCTGTAAAAAAAACATCAGGTGAATTATACTCAGATACATTAGCTCGTCGGGAAAACATATTCTCTTCCTCAGGTCAGTTTTAGGTCGGTATGTCTTGACAACAGTCAACTCGGAGTTCATTTTCATCGGGGTGGAGGAGTAGCAGAGAGAATCACTCCCATGATTCCCCTCCAGCCTCAATGTCATCTTTTGTTATTTTTGATTGAGAGCCCCCTGGTGGCGGAATGTACATACTGTGCGTTTAACTCTGTTTCTGAGGTAGTGGTGATAAAAACGCTTGTGACCAAAATGTTACACTTTGAAACTTTTTTCACACATGATGACAAAACAAACTCAACACCACATGCAGCTCCTTAATCGTTTAATCTGGATTATCTTGTTCTCATGATTTTGGGAAGATTCAATCATAACTGAAATTGAAACTGGATTAATAGCTCAACCTTACTGTGAGAAGTAGACTGATCTTTATTTAATGAATCGGTTTATTGAGGCTGGAAAACTTTCCTAAAGCTCAAGACGACTCAAATCTTGATGCTACAGTCTCAGACATGTCTCACCAGACTCTGACATCATGCTTCATGTGTTGATTGGGCAGGAAAATGGGAAGAGCCGCCTGCAGCAGGCCCAGGACGATGTGGAGGAGGTGAAGGGCATCATGCTGGACAACATGAACAAGGCAGATGAGAGAGGTGACAAACTGAACGACCTGGAGGACAGAGCTGACGAGCTGCTGGAAAAGGTAAGAGTGTGTCAGAGAAGCTGTTCAGGTGAAAGAAAGACAACACAGCACTTTAGTTTCTCTGTGGACTTTGTGAAGGTCGGGGGAATGACTGGAGTTTATGGTTTACAGACTCCCTCTCTGCAGGCTCACAAATAGGAAATGTCACATTGAGGTCTAAAAATACACCTTAGGAGGAGCTGGAGAGGAAAACAAATGTACAATTTCCATCCTGATTGTGTTTGATGGGGCTATTTTTAGAGAGGTATTTCCTATTGTTTGCTAAGATGAATGAAGTAAGCTGGTCTCCCCGGGTACCACAGAGTGAGTCCAGGACATGCCATGAGGTAAATGTCCATCTGGGGGTCAAAAAGAAGGTCAACCTATTTCCACATAGCCCCGTTGGCCTGTGTTACATAACGCTGTGGCCAAGATCTCAGGGAAGTAGAAAAGCAAACAGACAGGACTAAACAGTTTGATTTACTTTGTGATCACATGGTTTGTAAGGATGTGCAGCTGGGAGCTCTCAAGTGTCGCTCAGCACTCAGAGCACGATAACACATCAACAATTTGGAGCCATTTTAAGACCTAAAGCTGCACTAGATTCTATTTTTATCAGAATAAAGGAACAACCAAGTAAATGTGATGTGAGGGGGATTATCATGAGACTCTGCGTTCCCAAAAATAACTTTAAAAATACTCCAACACAAGACTTTGCCTAAATGTTCTCTCCTCCTGCTACTCTCGTCTCTGTGCATGTCAGTGGCGTCAAGGGTTCAACTTTGATTGGATATTAACTTTGTGACGTCCTGTCAATCAGATAGTGTTGTGGGAGGGACAATAGGTGAGACGGAGTGGTGAGAGTAGTGCTCTTTGTAAGTCATTTATTGTATCGGCAATCGTAAAATAAAACGCTGATACAGATAATCGACAGAGTGCCGGATATCGGCCCCCGATCACGACCAGGAGGATAATCAGTCGACCCCTACCGGAAAGACTACAGTGATGTGATCATCGAGAATATTCTTCTTTAAAGAATGGAACGGAAGGAAACAACAGAAGTGCATTTCATTTCATCACGTGCAGTTCAAATGGTGTTGAAAGTGCTGTGCTGTGAATAATCTTTTATTCATATGTCCAACTCTATCAGGCATTTAAGACGTTTAGTTACACGACACAATAATCTGAGTTTATCTATGTGTGCTTCTCTTTCAGAGTAAAACTTTTGAAAAGACTACGCGTAAGCTGAAGCAAAAGTATAAAGGGACAAGGAAACTGGTGTTCATCAGTGTCGGAGTGGTCGCTGCACTCATCATTATCGGACTCATAATCTTTGCCATTGTTTAAAAATTAAGTTGAATATTTTCAACCAAACATCATTGTGCTGCTCACTTTCTACTTCTTTATCGTATGGATCGGATCTCAAACAAGGCCACCACTCAAAGGAAGAAGTCACAGAATCCATTCCCCTGCCTCGGTTGCTGGTTCGGTTTGACTCAACTGTCTGAAGACGATGGAGGAGAAAACACTTTCAGTTCATCTCGTGTAAATATTTGCAGCCTGATGTAGTTTCAAATCAGAAACAATTACCTGATGTTCTGTCTCATCCAATCTCTCTGCCTCTAATAAAATAAACTCCAAATTGTCTGCATCATTAAAGTGTCTGTGAAGCTGGAGTAAAAGAGTCTCTTGGTGTGTTCATGTCTGAATCAACACATCTCTAAGGTCTACTCCACATGCAGGCAGGTATTTGTTAAACAAAGGTTTTCCTCCTCCATCTAAAAAAATAATCCCGTCCACACACGCTTAGTTCTCAAGAACATCTTTGTCCACAAGACAAATTACACTTCTCACACACACTGGCCTGTAATACACACACACATGAACAAACAGGACCTGTGGACAAGCCTTTAATGGAGAGATGTCAGAGTGGGGGGGGGGGGGCTACACAGCACCAGAGCAAGGGCACCTCAGCAGCACTCGGGACGTGACCTGGTACCTCTCCAGCAACTTTTTGTAATATGACCACTGTATTGTAGCACAAACAAAAACATTCTGAAGATTGGCTCTTTTTGCTTTTATTTACGTCATTGTTCATCTTGTTTTTCCAGGCAACATGTGATGTATGGGACTTCAGGGGCTGTTAGAGCAAGCCTCAAGTGGACACTTGAGGAACTGCTGCTTTATGCAATTCTGATTGGCTTCATTTTTCAACACTTGAGGAGGCTGCCTCTTGGTCCAGTCCTTACTTTTTAAACCATCTCTGATCCCTTGTGGACTCGGGCACATCATTCCTCACGTCTTTAACATCTGTGAGGGTTCAGTGCTTAGGCTTTAGGGTGGAGACTGGGATTGGGCCTTTGTGTGTTTGATGCAGGCTAAGGTGCACCCACACATGAAGGAAAGGTAAAGCATTTGCAACAATCTCACAATATCTGATACCATCCTGCCAGGTTTGTGGAGGTGTGCCTTAATCACTTCCAAACAACCAGAGAATTATACTTGATTTCTCTTTCCTCTGAAGTTGTCAGCTGGCTCGTTCAGAGCGGCTCCTCCAGGGACGAGAGGTCAGTGTTATCTCACTCATTCTATCTTTCCATATCATCTCACAGGAGCACTGAAAATGTGACAGCCTGAAACTGTCAATGATTACATTCATGTCTTCTTATCAGAGGTTATGATGTTAATAAACCACTAAGAACAGTGACCACTGCTGAAGTTATATATTAACTTTAAGAATAACAATATTAACACACATCCATATTTTAATCAGTTGAAACACGTTGTATATTCTAAGGCTTCATAAGTGAGACAATAACCTAAATACATTCATAAGTAAACTATCGATACAGTCACTTGAAACATGAACATTTACTTCCCTGACGCTTATTAAATTACTCAAAGCTCTTTTACACCGCAGGTCACACCTACACATTCACACACTGATGGTAGAGGCTGCTGAATAAAGAGTCCATCAGTATTAACTCATCCATTCATACACATTCACACACTGATGGTAGAGGCTGCTGAGTAAAGAGTCCATCAGTATAAACTCAACCATTCATACACATTCACAAACTGATGGTAGAGGCTGCTGAGTAAAGAGTCCGTCAGTATTAACTCAACCATTCATACACATTCACACACTGATGGTAGAGGCTGCTGAGTAAAGAGACCGTCAGTATTAACTCATCCATTCATACACATTCACACACTGATGGTAGAGGCTGCTGAGTAAAGAGACCGTCAGTATTAACTCATCCATTCATACACATTCACACACTGATGGTAGAGTCTGCTGAGTAAAGAGTCCGTCAGTATTAACTCAACCATTCATACACATTCACACACTGATGGTAGAGGCTGCTGTGTAAAGAGTCCATCAGTATTAACTCATCCATTCATACACATTCACACACTGATGGTAGAGGCTGCTGAATTAACTCATCCATTCATACACATTCACACACTGATGGTAGAGGCTGCTGTGTAAAGAGTCCATCAGTATTAACTCATCCATTCATACACATTCACACACTGATGGTAGAGGCTGCTGAATTAACTCATCCATTCATACACATTCACACACTGATGGTAGAGGCTGCTGTGTAAAGAGTCCATCAGTATTAACTCATCCATTCATACACATTCACACACTGCAGATGAAGCAGCGGGTGCAAATCGGGGTTAAGTGTCTTGCCCAAGGACACATCAGACGTGTTGCTGCAGGAGCTGGGGATCCAAACACCAACCCCGGCGACGACTCTATCATCTGAGCCACAGCTGCCCCATTTCATTCATGGAGAGGAGCGCTGATAGCTTAAAAAAAAAAAAAAAAAACTCATCATGTTGGATGTTCCCCAAATTTGAGATCCTCTGCTTTTGAATGTTTATCAATTATTTTCAGAGGAATTGTGAAGTACTGAAGCCTTTTGTATAAAACTTTCAAGGTGAAAAAAAAACACTCATTTGAATCAACCATATGTCACAACTTTGGGTGCAAGAAATAAGAGAAAAATAGGACACAGAGGTAGACAGCAGGCAGGCAGAGTAACTTCAGGATTTTTTGTTCTGTTGAATCCTCAGTCAGGTTTAGGATGGTAGGAGATGAATGTCTGAGGCCATCTAGTGGACAGACAGAGGAAAGCATGAGACTTTCGGAGGGGGAAATGTGACTGTTGATAAGGAACCTGTCTTGGAACCCACTGGCTATTGTCTGAGGATGATGTATGCCCATGGGAATGGTGGCCAACTTTCGGGCATTTCAGTCTAACCAGCAAGAAAGCTTCCGGCCAAGACTTCCTTTTCTCATGACTATCAGGCGGTCGACCTGAAGGCAGGGCATGAGGCCTGAACAATTCAGGAAGGCAGTCAGGAGGATGACAAAAAAGGTGGAGCAGGTTGGGATGACAGCCAGGAGGCCAACCAAGAGCAGAGAGCAGGTCAGGAGGGAGGCCGGGAGGTTTTAAGCCTTGCCATCTAAGGAGAAACAGGGGAAGGTATTGACCAGGCCACAGGGATCCAGGAGTGGCCGGGCCTTCTCCAAAGGTTTTGGGGCACAGGGTGGCTGAGGCTCTGTGGAGCAAAAGAGCCAGGTCACTGGGAACCACAGGGGCTGAGTCTTTTGGAAGCTGGGAGACTGGCACACTGGCTGATGGGGCTACTAAGACTCCAGGAAGCTGGACGGTGACAGCAGAAAAGGGCGAGACGAGCCATGGTGGCCACTTTTTTTTTCTCAGGCCTCCATGGCTACCAGGAAAAATGGCCAAGCGAGTCCTGGTTCATTGAGACTGATTAACCACTGCAGTGCTCCTCACTTCTTGGTGAGCCTTATGAAAAAAAAAAAAATGTTTTTCAGTCAAAACTTTCTAAAAGTTCTGCTGGGTCCATAATGTGGTTGGTTCATTCTGTCACCATGTGGGATTAAGAAGATACTGGAGTGCAGACAAAATAATTTACTCAACAAAATGTCAAAAGACAAAAACAAAGTCTCACTTTTTCTAATTTGCAACTCTATCCACTGTCCCATCTCTCCAATAAAGGCAGAAAATGCCCCAAAATAAATCTTTAGAAAAAAACACATGTGAGATGAACAAATGGATACTGTAGTGGATCTTTTACCACACACATATATATAAGCAATTAATTAACAATTGCAATCAGAACTGGGAAAATGCCACAATCTTTATTAAACTGGTCTCTCTACTCAACAGGTGGGCTAGCCCAAGACTTCACAAACTTTTTGGCCCCCAAAATAAGATGCTAGAGACTGGGGACCCACAGTGTCCATGGAGGTGGTTAAAACATTTAATGTTGCGCACAGCCTGGCAGACTAAAAGGCTAATATTATTTTAGTAATTTATTGTAAGATATGCTAGAAGCAGAACATAATTAATCTCTTGAACTTCTTTGTAGCCTATATTTTTACAAAAATGGGTAAAATATGCAATTCTAAGTCATTTTTAATTTCATATGTTTTTGGAAGGAATCTCGTGACCCCCCTCTCAGTGTGTTGTGACCCCTCAGGGGATCCCAACCCCCACTTTGGGAACCACTAAGTTAGCCAACCTGTCAATGGCTGATGTTACAAATTCCATTGACAATCCCTTCATTTGAAGAAACAAAAGAAAAACAACCTCCTTATAGCTGCTCTGCTGCATTCAGACACAACACTTTACAGCATGCTGTGGCTTTTCTACAGTCTGTTGGGGTCCTATAGGCAAACATGTATTTGGGGCCCCTCCAAACAGCGTTCAACTTCATCATGTCTTCCAGTGTCCTGCCGCTTACTCCTCTTCGTCTCTTTTCCCCTCCCAGACCGATAATTCCTCTTCATTTTCCTTCAGTTACTTTCATTGTCGAACACTGTGTTTTAACAGGAATAATGCCTGAGATGCTTAGCAGGGTAACGAGAGGGAGAGATGTCAGATGGGGCCCCTTTAGGGATGTTTCCTACTGTAAAAATGTGCCAGTTTTGAGCCACTGCTGTGTTTAAAGTTTGTCAGCCCTCAGGGGCATCTTACTGGCCTGGGCCCCAAGAAGTTTCCTGCCCTGCTTGTGGACAAGAAGCACCTCTGACAGCATACTTTGAAACTTTCCACAGTTTTTTTTAACCTTTGTTTTAATTTAAAACTGAAATTTTAAACTTCTCTGTATTTGTGTAATTAATTTCATTGTTTTGCTGCAAACCTTTGTTTTGATTCTGTTTGGTTAAGTCTACTCTCGACGTCACTGGAAATGCCTTCAACAATTTTTCAACTGAAATAAAGCTTGAATGAATAAATAAATAAAGCATGGTGTCTGGTTTAAGTTTATGATAGAGTACAGTGAATCAGACGGGAGCTTGAAGTTCAGACACCTCAGTATGTGATAAATCCATAGGGATAAATCTCAGAAGCACAGAAATTGTTTAAATTTACGCTATAAATGTAGGCTAATTATGATGATATATTTTCTTATATATGTATATATGTACATATGTGTATATAGCCTGTACTGATGATGTATTTCCACGTGTCTTTATTTAGTGTTTCGTTTTAATATTTTTTTTATTCTTTGTATTTTTTAACATTACAAAAGAACAACTGTAAAATAACAACGTTGAAACAATTTAAAATATATATCTTAAAAGACAAATAAATACGTAACGTAGCAGTTTTGCGCCGGAAGTGACGTAAAGAAGTGCTTCCTGCACCAAGACCGGCAAGATGGCGGCGGACACGCAGGTTTGTCTGACTGTTTTTTAAAAGTAGAGTATCCGCTTACCGCATGGACCTCAGACGGTGAACAAACCGAATTCGTGCCTTAATGAGTACCGCTTTGTGAACATATTGGCGGGGTTTGGTGTGAAACCGGAAACTCGTAATATCTAAAACGTGTCTGCTGGCTCAGTGCTGCGTAACGTCAGCCAGCCTGGACTGGACCAGAGACAGCCGCAGGGTGTAGCTTCATTTAGAGAGTGTCTTAATGGTAATAAACGAGGTAGACATTTAAAATGTGATGTGTTAAAGGTCTGAACAGCAGACAATCATTGTACGTGATGACGTAGGCCCGCATGACTGTGGCAAAAAGCACAATGGCAGAGGCTGCTGATGCAAAGAGTATGAACTAATCTATTTATACACATTCATACGCCGTCGACCAAGCAGGGGTAGCAGCCTAGGTTAAAAAGACACGTGTAGCTACAGCAGCTGGGGATCGAACCCCCAACCTTCCGGCTGAAGGAAGACAGATTTACCACTGAGTCTGCTTTGATTGATTTTGAAATCAGGATTATTAAACATGATAACACATGGATCACATGCACTCTGAACACTTAAACATTCAGATCACTTAGAAATACAAGTGACAAAACATTTAAATATATAAAAAACAAGTAATTTTGCACACAGTTTTTGTCTGTTATCTTCTCACCTCTTTCATTTTCTGTCTTGGGGAAGACAAAACTGCTTCCACACCTCTGATTTAAAAGACGGTGACACGTCCTCAATTTCTCAGTCTTGCTCTACAGCTGCTGACACTCACCATATTATTGTGAATCTTGACACCTTTGAATCCATTTATCACAATTTTACGATTAATCTTTACATTCCTAGCCGAAAGACAAAAGCACAATTAAAAACTTAAAGATTTATTTTTGGGCTTTTTGTGCCTTTAATTAAGAGAGAGGACAGTGGATAGAGCTGGAAATCAGGGAGAGAGAGAGTAGGGAAAGGAGCCACAGGTGGGATCTGAACCTGGGCCACCCGCTTGGAGGAGCAATGCATACATGGGGCGCGCACACACTAACCACTGTGCCACCAGCGCCCCCACAATTAAAAACTCGATTAATTACCCAGCCCTCATTACTCTTCAAGCCAAACCCTTCATGAGTAGTTCGTTGAAATTACATTTCTGTTATTGTGATTGAATGAAATGCACATGATGAATAAATACCCAAAGACCTGTTTGTTGTTGGAAGTAATTATTTAATGTCAACAACGTTTAAAACGACGTCCTTACAGCTCTACAGTCCTGTTCTCATCAAGAACCCCGATCTAAGTAATGATTTCATCTTCTCTTCTGGAATAAAATCTCCCCTGTTGCTCATTAGAGTCTGACTTCAGCAGCATCTCTTTCCATTCACTATTCCGTTTTACCAGCCATGTTGCTAAGTGTCGCTGTCTCGTTCAGGTTTCAGACACCTTGAAGAAATTTGCTGTGAATGTGACAACGGCGAGCGTGAAAGAGCGCAAAAAGATCTTCAGAGATCTGAAAGAGTGTATAAAGGGCAAAGGTGAGTTTCTTTTCATTATTATTTATTTGTCTGATGTAATCATTTAATGTAACTCTAACGCTTTTTCTCTGAAATGCTCCCTCAGAGTTACCGGAGCCCGCCATCAAAGGACTATGCAAGCTCTTCTGTCTCACTCCACACAGATACCGGTGGGTACTTTGGATCACTTCCTCTTTTTCTTCATGCTCTTCTTGTGATGCCTTTGGCCCAGTGTCCAACTAGCGTTTTTTTTTTTCTGAGCTCCAGAGTCTTTTATTCAATTGTTTTCAATGAGTAGAGCGCTTTCTCAGCAGCAGGCGGCCGCTCGGAGAAAAAAACGCCAAGCATCTTTTGTCCCAGCGCCCCGCCTTTTTTGTGTGGCCGCTCAGAGCGCTCAAGTTGAGAATCTTTCAACTTCTCAGAAAGGCGCTGATGACGTCACCGGCGCTCTTTTCCAAATGTTTGATATTCCTCGTAGTTTTGCCGCCTACAGATCGTGTCCTGTATCCACATCCTCCTTGCTCGATGTCTGATCGGGAAATAAATGATCTAAAATGTAAAACATGCAGTAAAAAGTAATGGAGCAGTGTTGGTCATAAAGACTGTTGTCATGGAGACAGGATGGACTTGCAGCGCTTTTCTCTTTAGAGCAATAAATGCTTAATACAAGTCCTTCCCGAGTGCACAGCCAGCGATTTTCTGCCTGGTAAACACTGTTAGGTGGACTCGGGGCATTGGTCAGTTAAGTCTAGCTATGAATGACTCCTTTTTATAATGTTCATAGTTTTTAAAAGTGCAGACTGTGAGAGTCCGCTGTTGGACCTGTGTTGTGTATTCCTTCCTCCTTCATTAGTTCAGACCTGTGATTGTAGATGTTTCTGTGTGTTGACATTGACGTGTGTTTGTCTCAGGGATGCTGCATCCCGCAGGGAACTCCTCTCCGTCATCGCCCAGCTGGCCGAGAGTCAGCCCAACATCCTGGCCACAAGCCTCATTCACAGCCTGCTCAACAGCGGAGTCATCAGCAAGAATGGCGAGCCCAGGTAACTGCTCAGGACTGCACGCTGCAACCTTTATCTGTCAAACGAGCTCAATTCCTACATTATCAGAAGATAGCCAGTTCATCACCATGGCAACGTCAGTAAAAACCCTGGCTCACACTGCGGGATCATCAGGCCGATTTGAGCTCCGATACCTCCTTCCTGACAATCGCAGGGTCAGGGTCGTTCCCGACTCGAGGCTGCTCAGAACCCGATGACCTCTCCTGATTATTTTGTAGTTTGAGTCGTATAAAGGTCCAATCTTAACGTCCTCGTTCTGCTCGCAGATTGTCACAATCGACGCCCCGAGTTATTTTAAACTTGTTTGATATGTAGAATTTAAAATCTTGACACTTAAGTCATGAAAGTGGAGGAAGTCGTGTGTGAGTACAATAACAGCGAGAGACGGGGCAGTAGTGGTTACCGGCGGCAGGATGCCCCCCGCCCAGGTGTATTGGACACCTGCATGCATAATGTAGTCTGTGATGTGCCATTATTTTCACATGCTGTAGTGGTGCATGCTGAGGTTATAGAGAAGAAGATCTGAGCGAGACTTTAGACGATACATTTCTCAAAGTTGTTTAACCGGCATGGTAAGAAAAAACAAAATCAAAGACAGTATGATTACGACTTGAACACTGTGAACAAACAAATGAACCTCATCCGTGTAACAATGTTTGTGTTGTAATCAATTAAGCAACAAAATGAACAAACACACTTTTGTCTTTGGATGGATACAAATCGAAAACAAGAATCAGTCGCCCTCTTCAGACTGCTTTTTTTCACACAACTCTCTGCCGTAATCACGTCTTTGTCCATTCATATTGATTCCTCGCCGGCGTAATATTGGCGTCCCAGTCTGTGAGGTCACATTGTGTTTCGGCGCTGTGGAAGCAAAGCATAGCTGAAGCTCCACATACACACACAGTCAGACTTGCACACACGTACAATGTCACAGGGGCGTTAATATCACAGCTTGAATGGTCAGTCTGAAGAGGGCTATATAAAACACTCATCTGGTGCTTGGATCAAAGTTCTCCTTGCTCCTCATTAACACTTTGTTTTCTGATGTGTTCAGTAAGAGTGCAGGCTCTGCCGCCTTCATCTGCCTGTCCTGGACCTGCCTCTTAGTCCGCACTGTTTTTTCAGCCCCAGAGAAAAGAGAAGGACCTGTCTGGAGGAAAATGGTCAGTAAAAGATTACAACACTGTTTGAACTAAAATAAAATCCTGTTGATGAAGTTTAAAGCTCTTCAAACTGTTCTTACTCTGGTGTTCATGTGTTCACTGAAGACCACTTTAAACCAGGGTCAGAGTTCTAGTTCTGATGTCTGTTTCACCTGTTGGTTTTCTCTGTCGTAGGTGGAGGTTCAGAGCCTCCTTGTGGCTGAGGTTGTGGGCGGAGCCAAGACCACTGCTCAGAAATCCAGCCTCAAGAATCTCAGTCACCTTTGGGTGGAGGTAAGTGCAGTGAACTCGCTGTGAGGAAAACACAGTCAGGGGTCCTTTTTATATTTACCCCCCCCCCCTTAAAGTCTCGCTTTCAATGTGACCCAGCAGCCTCTACCATCAGTGTGTGAATGTGTATGAATGGGTGAGTTAATACTGATGGGCTCTTTACACAGCAGCCTCTACCATCAGCATGTGAATGTGTATGAATGGATGAGTTAATACTGATGGACTCTTTACACAGCAGCCTCTACCATCAGTGTGTGAATGTGTATGAATGGATGAGTTAATACTGATGGACTCTTTACACAGCAGCCTCTACCATCAGTGTGTGAATGTGTATGAATGGATGAGTTAATACTGATGGACTCTTTACTCAGCAGCCTCTACCATCAGTGTGTGAATGTGTATGAATGGATGAGTTAATACTGATGGACTCTTTACTCAGCAGCCTCTACCATCAGGGTGTCACTGTGTAGGTGTGACCTGTGGTGTGGTCTAGTCTGTAAAATGTAACTAAACTTAAGGCCCTGACACACCAAGGAGATTGTCATATCATAACAATGGACTACCGCCTCCTGCTGGCATGGAGAGTTATTTCCTCTCACATGAGCAGAACGTACGTGGTGGTTGGCCGTCGGCTGTATTCTTTGCGGTGTGTTCAAATGAAACTTTCTGGACAAGTTGTGAGGCGACGCTACAGTCGATCCTTCTTCTCCACTAGTTCTTTCCCGTCTGCTTGGTGTGTCAGGGCCTTTATATGATTTTTAACATGATATTCCCTGCGCTGTAATTCTGGATGTGTCTGACATTTTGTTGTCTTTAACAGAACTCTGGACTCGTTGATGAATACATCAGCACACTGTTGACTCTGGACCAGAGCCCCACCTCACTGGCAATGCTGGGGGTGTGTCTAGACTTCTGCACTGCTCAGAAGGACAAAGCTACAATAGAGAAGCACAAGGTTCAACAATATACTTCTCCTGTTCTGTCTCATCTTGTCAATAACTACAGATGTACCATGCTTCTACTTGGACTCTGGGGTCTAGATTTAAATCCATATATGTGTGTGAACTGCTTTCCAGAGCCCCCTCTTGGACCTGTACATAAAGTCAGTCCTCATGAGCAAGACCAAACCATGGCAGCACGTCTTGGAGAAAAGTGGATCTTTGCTCCGTCATGTGTCCCACTCCGACTTCAAGGAGCTGCTTCTCCCCACGCTGCAGAAGACGATGCTCCGCAGTCCAGAGAACGCCATGCAGAGTGAGACAGCACTGAGTGAAAGTTTGATACTCTTGAGGTGGTGATCGTACTCTGGATTAAACTTTGTCTGCTCTTCTTTTCAGCCGTCTCCTGTCTTCTGTCTGCTGTGACTCTGGACCTCAGTCAGTATGCCATGGACATCGGAAAAGCCGTTGCAAGTAAGGCGTTAATCAATGCTCTAAACATTTTGGTCTTAAACCCTCAGGCATAAGTTTAATTTACTACCCTCTTAAGTCACTAAGGACAAAAATGTCCATGACAAAAAACTGATATAAAAATAGAACAGATTAATATTTTTTTCTGCTTTTTTTGCATAAATCTCTTAAACAACTTCAGCCCTGCTCAAAACTACCAAATAATTATCAGGAATTTAACCCTTTAAATACCAGTTTGATTCCATGATTCTGGCATTTAAAAGGTTAAATTCCTGATAATTATTCAATATTTGATAAGAGATTTATGGAAAAAAAGTAGAAAAAAAAAATCAATCTGTTCTATTTCTTAGCAGTTTTTTGTAAGTGGACATGTTTGTCCTTCAGAGGGTAGTAAACATGTTTCACAGTGTTCTATTGATCTATTAAGAAAAATAAAATGTGCATTCCAAAATGTGTCAAGAGAGAGTCTTATGCCATATGTACTAACACAGACAAAATTATGGACAGATGAAGAGGAAACATTTGACCAAATGGACAAAAATGTCCATAATGATGCATGAGGGAGCAGTTTGCAATTGCACTAAAGTATAACGGACCAGCTGGAAAATGATGATTACTGCCAATTTCCACATACGTTTCCACACGTCTGCATCAGCGCCATGAACTACGGCACTGTTTGCTGCCACTCTAGTCAACGCTCCAGTGTCCGTCTCCAGCAGCTCCACTACGCTCTGCTCCGTTTCAAATAGACTCAGAGTCTATTTTTGACGGAGCCCGCTTCAAGTTTGCTTAAAGGTGGACAGAATAGGACGACCCAGATAGGAAGTGAGACCAGGAACCACACTAAGATCCTGTGAATTTCAAAATAAAACACAATAAACTGACTCCCCATTTTGTATTTCCCATCGATTCATCAACATTATGTCAAAACCATGGTGTGACGGGACACAGCACGCACAAAAACTGATTTATTTTACATATTTAAAATACAGACTGAAATTGGCAGTAACTGGTACGGTATGAAAGTGATGCAGACTTAATTTCTGGTTCGTTTTGTGTTTCAGGCCAACTGAAAGCCAATAATCCTCAGCTGATGGAGGAGGCGGTCCAGGCCATGCAGCACCTGGTTCAGCAGTGCAGTGACTCCTCCTCTGTGCAGGACATCGTCACTCACCTCTTCAAGATCCTTGGAGGTGAACCAAACTTTAAATTAAACTAGTGCTGTCAAAGAATTTTTTAAGAGACCGGCTTTATTATGAATTAACCAGGTGGACTTCATCCGTCTGCATGATTGACTATTGGTTATTTTGAATGTAACACACACACACACATCTCTGTACTACAAGGGCCGTCGGCTGTAGTCTTTGCGGTGTGTTCAAGTGCAACTTTTTGACCAAGACGTGAGGTGAGGACACTAGCGGCATTCGTCTCCTCTAGTTCTTTGCCGTCTGCTTGGTGTTTCTAGTCAGGGCCTTTAGGTACAGGTGTAAACACTCCCACGCTTTCGTCTTCCGGCGCGGCTTTCGTCTTCCGTCTTCCGCCACCGCTCTGGGTGGTCGCCTGTTACGCAGCTCCGACCCCCCTCGTTATTGGTTTTTAGTTTATTTTGTTAATATTTACTTTTTGTTGCTGTAACTTCGCGAGTAACTCCAACTCCAAACAGCAAACATGGACATTCTTCTTTTTGGAGTATTGGTGATGTTTTTCTTTCTCTGTGGACTCTTTAAAACTTCCTCGGGAGACCCATTCAGTCATGGCTCCATTGTTTACACCCGTGAACAGCTGGTTGCGCTGTGCCAACCTCGGTTACATCCAGCCGAAAGACCGGACATCCCCGCAGAACTACCGAGGAGGAGAAGGGGATGCAGAGCCGGAGTGAAGTGTCGGGAAAAGAAAAGACGGTACAAACCATCCGTGCCGTCTTTAATTATGGGGAACGTAAGATCTCTCCCTAATAAGATGGAGGAGCTGACGGCACTCACCCGGCTTCAGAGGGAGTACAGGGAGTGTAGCATCATGCAGTTCACAGAGACATGGCTGAATGAACTCACTGCGGACACGCTCGTAACTTTGGACGGCTTCCACCTCGTCAGAGCGGACCGGAGCATGAGGGAGAGCGGTAAGAAGAAAGGCGGGGGAATAGCAATGTATGTGAATGAGAGGTGGTGTAACTCTGGGCACATCACCGTTAAAGAACAGCGCTGCACTAAGGATGTGGAGCTGCTGGCTGTAAGCATTCGGCCATATTATCTGCCTCGGCAGACGCTGCTGCAGCCTGTGAACTCATCCACAGTGTAGTATCTCAGCTACAGACATCGCACCCCCAGTCTCTTCTTCTCATCTCAGGAGACTTTAATCACGCTTCCCTGTCTGCCACTCTCCCTACTTTCACTCAGTATGTTGACTGCCATACCAGGGACAATAAAACTTTGGACTTACTGTATGCAAACAGTGCAGTCCAAGGATGCATACAGATCATCACCCTTCCCCCCCTGGGCCGCTCAGACCACAACCTGGTGAGACTGCAGCCATTTACATACCTATGGTGAAAAAACACCCCCCACAACCAGGTATGTGAAGAAGTGGTCTAAGGAGGCCACTGAGGCGCTGCAGGACTGCTTCGACACCACCGACTGGGAGGTGCTGTGCAGCCCAGATGGGGAGGACATTGACGGTTTAACTCACTGCATCACAGATTACATAAACTTCTGTGTTGAGAACACTGTACCCACCAAAAAAATACAGTGTTTCTCCAACAACAAACCCTGGGTGACCCCTGAGCTGAAAACCCTGCTCAATGAAAAGAGAAGGGTTTTTAGATCTGGAGACAGAGAGGAGCTGAGGAGGGTGCAGAAGGGAACATAAAAATGCAAGAGAAGTCTGGAGGGGCCTGAATAACATCTCAGGTCACAGCAGAGAGGGGCCCTGAAGCAGGAGACAGGGAGTGGGCAAATGAACTGAATCTGTTCTTCAATAGATTTGATTCTGCTCCTAACCCCATCTCCACCCACCAGAGCGCAGACCAGCCTGCTTCTCAGACACTCCATCTGAGTACCCTGAGTACCCTGCCACCCCCCTAAACACTCCATCTGAGTACCCTGAGTATCCTGCCACCCCCCTCAACACTCCATCTGAGTACCCTGAGTACCCTGCCACCCCCCTCAACACTCCATCTGAGTACCCTGAGTACCCTGCCACCCCCCTCAACAGCCCTCTCCTTCTCCTCCTCCTCCTCAGACGACCCCCCAACAACCCCCTCCTCTTCTTCCTCCTCCTACGACGGCCTCTCCATAACAGCTGATCAGGTGAGAAGCCAGCTGAGGAAGATCAAGGCGAGGAAGGCCACAGGTCCCGATGGCATCAGCTCCAGACTCCTGAAGGACTGTGCAGACCAGCTCTGTGAGGTTCTTCTGCACATCTTCAATCTGAGCCTGAGACTGGAGAGGGTACCGACCCTGTGGAAGACTTCCTGCGTGGTGCCAGTCCCAAAGACATCTCACCCCAGGGAGCCTAACCACTTCAGACCTGTGGCCCTCACCTCTCACCTGATGAAGACCATGGAGAGGATCATCCTCAACAACCTCCACCCCCTGGTGACTTCAAATCTGGATCCTCTGCAGTTCGCCTAACAGCCGAACATCGGGGTGGATGACGTCGTCATCTACCTGCTGCAGAGATCCTGGACTCACCTGGAGAACACCGGCAGCACTGTGAGGGTCATGTTCTTTGACTTCTCCAGTGCCTTCAACACCATCCAGCCTGCACTGCTCAGGGGGAAGCTACAGAGGGCGGGAGTGGACTGTCACCTGGCTGCATGGACAACGGACTACCTCACCAACAGACCACAGTACGTGAGGCTTCAGGACTGTTAGTCTGACATGGTGGTCTGCAGTACAGGGGCCCCGCAGGGGACAGTTCTCTCCCCTTTTCTCTTCACCCTGTACACCTCAGACTTCTGCTACAACTCTGGGAGCTGCCACCTGCAGAAGTTCTCCGATGACACAGCCATCGTGGGGTGTGTGTCTAAGGGGAGCGAACAGGAGTACAGGCAGGTCATCATGGACTTTGTCGACTGGAGTGAGCTCAACCACCTTCAGCTCAACGCCAGCAAGACAAAGGAGATGGTGATTGACTTCCGCAGGAAGTCACCCCAGACTGCACCGGTGAACATCCAGGGCTTGGACATCGAGAGGATGGAGATGTACAAATACCTGGGTGTTCACCTCAACAACAAACTGGACTGGTCACACAACACCGACGTCCTGTACAAGAACGGCCAATGTCGACTTCACCTGCTGAGGCGACTGAGGTCCTTTGGAGTGTGCAGGACTCTACTACAGACTTTTTATGACACTGTGGTGGCGTCTGCACTTTTCTATGCAGTGGTCTGCTGGGGAGGAGGGAGCACAGAGAGAGACAGGAAGAGACTGAACAGACTGGTCAGGAGGACCAGTTCTGTCTTGGACTGTCCTCTGGACTCTGTAGAGGAGGTGGGTGAGAGGAGGATGTTAGTGAAGCTGACATCCATCATGGACAACCCCTCTCACCCCCTGCTTGACACTGTGGGGGCCCTGAGCAGCTTCTTCAGCAGCAGACTCAGACACCCACCCTGCAAGACAGAGCGCTACCGCAGGTCGTTCATCCCATCTGCCATCAGACTGTTTAATCAGACTCTTTAACAGCATCACCACCTCATGCTACACACTGTGTGTGTTTTCTTAATAACAAGTTACTGTGTAATTTTACATTTACATTATTGTATTTTTTTTACATTATTGTATTTTTATTTATTTAAATGATGTAAATATGTTTGATTTGTTTCTTAACTTCTATTTTTATTTTTTGTAAGTATATTCCCATCCCCTGTTTTCTTGAGCTGCTGTAATGCACAAATTTCCCCCACGGGGGATCAATAAAGTTTATCTTTAGGTTACATAGAGATCTGATGACGTAGGTAAAGGGATGTAAACACTTGAGATCTGTCCACATCTTTAACCCGAGGTGTAAACTTCCTGATTTATTCTGATTGGCTGAAAAAGGTTTTTGTGTCTTTGCAGGCTCTGAGGGGAAGCTCACCGTCGTTGCTCAAAAAATGAGCGTGTTGTCAGGTAAAGGAGCTTTTTTAAACGATATGATCCTCCATGATGTGAGGCTGCAAACAGAGTTCTGTAAACGTGTCTTCTTCTAGGGATCGCAAGCTGCAGCCACCATGCTGTGTCAGGAACTTCGAGCCAGACTCTGAGCTCTGCCGTCACTGTCATGTTCATCCCTTATCTACAACAAGAAGGTATCCTTTCCCTCCCTCTCCTCTCCTGCTCCACATATTTATCAGAACTACATAGTATTTATGTGTTTGTGTCTGAATATGCCGCGTTGTGTTTAGTTCACGAGGGCACCTTGGTTCATGCCGTGTCCGTGCTCGCCCAGTGGAGCGGCCGCCTCACAGTGGAAGTCCCAACTGCTCTGATGGATTGCTTTAAGAAGGCATTCACCCTCAAGACCTCCACCTCTCTGGTTCGAAACGCCTATCTTCAGGCTATGCTGGGGGCCTTCAGAGGTCAGTCACATGAGGGGTGTCAGTCTCTTTGTTTAAATCAGGGGTTCTCAAACTGTTTTAGACCATGGGCCTCTTTCAGGACCCCCCTCATTATCATATCGTTGATAAAGTATTAATACTATGTAATAATGTACTATGTGGTACTTTGCATCGATAGAATTAGGCTACATTTATACTTTCCATGTAAATTCATTTTATAAACTTTGAGAAAATGTTGGCTCCGAGGAGTTTTATGTTAACAGGTTTTTTTTTTTTTTTATCGTTGCGCAGACATGTCACGATCATATCAAAATTCAAAACTAAAGTGGGCGGGAGTATTGGACAAACTAGCTGATTTAATTGGTGCAAGAGGCTCCAGTTTGTAGATATGCTTTTTCAATGAAATAACACACTTTTACAATTGTTTTTAAATTATTCCGCTGACCCCCAAGCTATGGTTCGTGGACCCCTGGGGGTCCTGGGACCCCACTTTGAGAATCACTGGTTTACGATACACATCCTGTAAATAATGGACTTTACTTATCATGATCTTTTTTACTCGTTAGACCCCCTAAAGACCCTGAGACTAAATACCAGCCGTTATCCTTTCTTGTCTTGTTACAGGGGACACTCTGGCTCAAGCCTCAGACTTCATGCCTCTGCTCCTGCAAACAGTGGAGAAGGCGGTAGCACAAAACTCCCAACATGCTCTGCTTGCAGAAGGCGTGTCGGCGTCTGTGCTGTTGAGCCGACTGGCGCTGCTGGAGACACAGACAGGTGAGGCTGGGGTCAAAGCTGCCCCTCTGTCCTCACTCCTGAAGCCTGCTAACACCTTCACATCAATCTTTTTGTTTGTCTGTTTCTGTTGTCTCTGCAGAGGCGAAGTTTTCTAACTTTTGGAGTCTGATCTTGGATGAGAAGAAGCCACTCTTCACAACAGAGAAGTTCCTCTCCCAGGCCAGCGAGGAAAGTAGGTTCATCTATCTTAACTGACCAAAAAGCTTGTGAGGGTTTTAAAGTTTGTAGAACATTCACTAACCCCTCGTTGTTGTTTCTGTGTGTCCTGTCTTCAGCTCTGCTCACAGTCCTGCTGCTCTGTGAAAGGATCGTCCTCGACCACGCTCATCGACTCAACACCAGCAAGACCCAGTAAATCTTTTCACTTTCAGAGGACTCTGGGCCTCAGACATGAAAGACTTTATTTATATATATATATATATATATATATATGCATTTATGATTTATTTATCTCCTTGGAAATTCAGGCTCTTATTGTCAGCTCTGATTTTTAAAAAAAAAAAAGAAGCCAATATGATCCATGAATCAATGGACTGAAGCGGGCCTGCTCACTGTGTGTGGGGTCACACTCGCTGATATAAGGTGCTCTGTGCTGGGCAACAGCGTACCGGCTTACCTCCGGGTAGTAGAGGAGTGGTCTCTGAGGTGGTTAGCATTAGCGTACTGCACAGGTGTGCTGGGATAGAAAGGGGTAAATGCTTCCTTGTTGTGTCCACATCCTGCCCCTGTAACCACCTCAGAGACCCCTCCACTACTACCTGGAGGTAAGCTGGTCGACTAAACCCCTGTATGTACTTCCCTCACTATGAATTAACCACCTTGTGGGGACAAATAGAGGATTGTATAATAATTATAAAAGCTTACATAAAGGGGATGCATCATGCAACAACAACATGCAATGAAAAAATCAAGTATGTAATTGCACACACTTGCAGAGTTGGGGACTTTATACCCCAGCAGGGCTGCAGATATTCCTCTATAATCCCATTAGAATGTGTATGCTTTATCATTTTTAATATTTGAATACATTCAGATTTTTTTAATGCTAAAATTGAGTAGGCTACTTTTTATCCTTTACGAGAAATAAAGGCAATTTTACTAATTACTACGGCAAACCTTTGTGCCCATTCTGCATGTCATTTTCTTTATCATGAAGCTTTGGCACAGAATAACGCTCACTTGGATGAATGTTTAATATGGACCAATTGGAGTGACGCAGCACGACGCGGCTTGCCGTTTTACCCCCCCCACGTTTCTATTTCCCTCATCTGTCGCTCGTGGGAAGGAGGGGGCACAGCACTTAGTTTGTTTTACAACGTGGAGATAACAATGTATTAATAATATCCACATCATGATTTAATTGTTGAGCTTTGACTTCAACAACACCGGAGAAAACCTTTTTTTTTTTCAGCTCTCGTTTATATTCGATTTTTGAATTTCGTTCCTGCAGCCCCAGGCATTGTCTTATTGTGCGATATGAGATTTAAATATTTATAATAAATCTTCTATTGTTTATCAGAAACATTGTCTTACTGTGCGACATGAGATTTTAAAAATGTGTAACGAATCTTCTCTCTTCTGTAGGATGTATCATCACGCCATCGTTGAGGTTCTGCTGTCGCGAAGCTGGCGCGTCAGGAAGCGTGCGCAGCAGACAGTCAGGAAGTTGCTCTCCTCTCTGGGTGGATCAAGTCTAGCCCAGGGCCTTCTGGGAGAACTGCGTGTGGTCATCAACAAACACAAGGTAGGAAGTGACATTAAACACTTTGATCTGCATCTTTAACCCCTCGCTCACCTCGTCTGTCATCAGCTTTTCTTACCCAATTAAGCCCCAAACAATCACCTCTAGAAGAATTTAAAAAATCTATTACATCTATCTCTATTACAAAGAAAATTGGGCAAACGAAGATATTATTATAACCATTTTGTTTTCTTCTTCTGCATTCTATTATTGTTTTGTATAACATTATAAAAAAGTATATTATGTGTAAGAATGATGTAAGAAATGAACTATGTTTGGATTGCCCAATAAACACAGAGTTTTAAGTGAATCATTGATCAGCCTGCCCATACAGGTTTATGTTGTTATCTTCATTATCTCTATCTGTGCTTGAAACTTTCAGATTCTGCCCCAAGACGTCCTGGTGTCGGAGTCTGGAGAGCTGACTGAGCTGGGGCGCAGCTACGTTCCCCCCCGCGCCCTGCTCGATGCTCTGTGTGTCGTCTGTTCTTCTGCCGGCCAAGGGGGCGATCCCAGCGAAGCCGAGAATCTGGCCATGGAGACCCTAATAGTGACTCACCATCCATCCATCGGTAAGAGAACGAGTTGCTCCGAAGGCTGAATTTACTTTCCAATCTTCCCCCCCACAGTCATGCTAACCGTTAGCTCTTTACCACACGCCGGCGTTCTGTGTCTGACCTCGTGTCTGTGGGTGTCCGGCGTCCTAACGTGAGGTCTTATCTACTCTCTTCCAGTTGAAGCTCGCCGTGGTCTCTGGCCTTTTCTTCTCCTCTCCATGAACATTAAAGCTGATGAGTTTATAGAGAAGAATCTGGACGCTATTCTGCCACGTCTCCTGGAGGTCAATGCTGACAACAAGGTGGGAAACTAGCATACATTCAGGGAGGGGAGGGGGGGGGATATCACTGCTACCAATGTATTAACCCTCATGCATCATTATGGACATTTTTGTCCATTTGGTCAAATGTTTCCTCTTCATCTGGTCATCATTTTGTCTGTGTTAGTGCATATGGAACACATTTTTGTAAGAAAGTCTCTCGACAAATTTTGGAATGCACATTTTATTTTTTTAAATAGATCAATAGAACTCTGAGAATGTTTACTACCCTCTTAAGTCACTAAGGACAACAATGTCCACTTACAAAAAAACATTTTTGTCCTTAGTGACTTCAGAGGGTAGTAAATTAAACTGATGCCTGAGGGTTAAGCGGTCAATTTTTCCTTCTCAGGCTGTGAAAAATGCAGTCGGCGCCCTCTGTGGCCTTTCCCCTAACAAGCTGTTGCCGCGGGTGATCAGTCACGTCACTGAGGGTCTTGGTAAACCCTCTCTGCTCCAAGTCACCAGGGAGGAATACGCCATCATGCTCACACCTGAGGGGAAACTATACGACGACAGCATCATCCAAAGGTACCACCCAGCCTCTCCTTTCCCTTCTGATCTTTGTGACATCAACATCCATCCACAGACCTTTCATTCTCCTTCTGTCTTTTTCCATCTGCTCGCTTGTAGCGCTCAGAAGGAAAGCACCAAGAAAGCCAACATGAAGCGGGAGAACAAGGCCTACTCTTACAAGGAGCAGATCATTGAACTGGAGTTACAGGAGGTACGGTGGTCCCACCATCGTTTGGGGGGTCATTGTGTGGTGTTTACCTGAACTCATTGTGATGTCTTTCTCACATGGCAGGAGATGAAGAAGAAGAAAGGGATCAAAGAGGAACTGCAGTTAACCAGCAAACAAAAGGAAATAATGCAGAACCAGCTGGAAAAGGAGGCCGCGATCCGCAAGAGACTGCAAGGGGTACGGAGGGAAGGGATTCGAGGGGTCTCTTTCTAAATAAGGAAATGATTGACTAGTCATTATTGAGCTGCTTTATATTTGTTGTTGTCACCAGCTGGATGACGAGTTGCAGAGCTTGCTGGGTCTCCTGGAAGCCACCCTGATTGAGAGACCACCTGAGATCACACGGGAGCTCCCTTTTGTGCTCCAGGCCCTGATCCCCCTGCTGAACTCCCCTCTGGCTGCTCCCCGCGTCCAGCAGCTCTTCTTAGACACAGGAGTGTGCCTCATGCCTAAACACCTTCATCACCTAGGTACATGCTTTTGTCTTTGTGTTTGTGTTTTGTTCCAAGCCCTCACGATCTCATGTGAATGTCGCCTCCTTCTCTTCCAGCCGTGCTCGTGGGACATGTGACTTTACGCCTGCTGAAGCCAGAATGTGAGCTGGACGAGGACTGGGGCCAGGAGGACCTGGACACTGCAGCCCATCGCACAATACTAGTGCTACACAACCTCACCGTCCCACAGAGAGACGCCAAGACTGGAGGTGAGCACTCACTGGCACCTTTCTGTTAGGAAACTGTACTGGGCAATGCAAACTTCTATTTTTCATCTATAAGAAAAGGGAATGAGGGAGCAGATCAGACAGTTATGAGTTCAAGTCCCATATTCAAACTGAAAACGTCTTCATAACCTTAACTAAAAAAATAAACCTGATACTGAACTTAAAGGAGATCTATAATCCTCACTTTCACCTTTAATGATGTCAGTAAAGTCCCCCATGTCAGCCTCTGCCTGAAAAGCTTCATTTCAGCTGCTGTCTCTTTAAGCCCCCCCCCTCCCGCACGTGCCCACTCTCCTCTGATTGGCCGGCTCTGTTTGCAGTTGCAAACAAAGGTGGGATTCGAACCTGGGCCGTAGCCTCCATACATGGAGCACCCCCAGTCGCAGGGAAGTTTGAGTGAGCTTCCAGGTGGGCGTGTCCTACGACTTTGCTGCATGCATTGCTCTGGATTTGGATCAGAATAAATCTGAATCACTAAGGCTACATTAATACTGCGGGCAGGGCTGACCCTAACCCAGTTCTTCTGCACATATGTGACTCAGATCAGATTTATGGCGACCGTTTGAACAGTCTGACCTTTTCAAATCAGAGAACATGACAGCTACTTTACTGACTTTATGTCTTATTTTGAGTCATGTTAGTGAGAAACAGACAGAACACTCGGGGATTTCTCCTGAATGGAGGCGGGGATCGATTATACTTCATGTTCATAAAAAACAAAACAAACTGGACTTTAGGGGTCAAACATGCTTGTGCGCGGTACCGATTGCCTAGTGTGAGTGCGCCCTAGAAAGAAGAACAAAACAGGACTGAAGTGATCCTCGCCCTAGTTTTTGCGGTGTAATTTAGCGAGCAGTTAAGTAATCGCTCTTGTTTTGTCTTGTGTGTGTTTTCTTTGTAGACGACGCTCGACTGTCTGCCCCCGCCTTCTCCTTCTGCTTCCCCCTCCTAAACGTCATGCTCAGAGACTCTTCAGGCAGCACCGAGGAGACTGAGAACCTGATGGCCCGAGCGTTACAAGTGGTCACTGAACACTCCCAGCTCCGGGCCACCACGGAGAGCCATGACCTCACTATAGACGAGGTACTTACACACAGCTGGGACACACTTTGTTCTGTCAGTGACCTGTGAGGAGGGTTGTTCTAGGCGCTCTGTTGTGCTTTAAATAATCGTTCATAGTTACTAAACGGAGCACTCGTCTGTAAGAAGAAACGATGACGGCGTTAGAAGTTACTCACTTTGTTTTCTCGTCTCAGAACGGACCCGAGCTGCTTCCTCGTGTCAACATGCTGCTGCTGCTCACAAGAGTCATCTCCACAGCCACTCCAAGACTCCAGGTACAGTCTGCTGATTTTGAACCTCTTATCTAGTATTTCCTGCTTCAAATTAAGCTCTGAAAAGAAAAGGGTAAACAAACTCTGAAAACAAGGACAGGTTTGTTGGTGTGTTGGTTTATTTTTTTAACGTTGGTAGGTACTCTCATCTTTTATCTTAGTGAGATCAATCATTTCAATAAAAGTTTTTTTTATCAAAGTCTCAGTAAATATGTATCTGATTCATGACTGCACACAGCCTAACTATGGAATCATATTTGTGCCAAAAAAATCAAACAAAACTTCTTAAATTTCAAACAAAAAACCAGACTTTGAGAGAGATATAATCTCACTGAAGCAAAAAAAAATTACATGCAATTAAAATACAAACCGCTCATCTTTAACCCCCCCCCCCCTACTCTATGTTTCAGGTGTTGGCCGCTCAGTGCCTGACAGCGCTGTGTGCCAGTGCAGGAGGAGGGGTCGGCTGCACAGTGGCAGAGCAGCAAGAGATAGACGTCCTGCTCAGCGCCCTGCTGTCGCCCTGCTTCTCTGTCCGGGACGCCGCCCTCAGGGTGAGTTTGGAATCACGTCATGAGACACGTTTGGTAGAGCTCTGTTCCTGCCACAGAAGAGCATTTTCAATGTTTCTCCACAGATTCAGCTTTGAGAATAAAAACACAGCTTCTGTACCAAGATGAGAGCACTGCTTTGTGATGATGTAGCCTCACATGTATTCCTCTAAGATGTTAACACATGATCTCTCCGTGCTCAGGGACTGTTGGAGATGGAGTTTGCCCTGCCCACTGAGAGCTCGGAGACCACCGGCCTGAGCTTACTGCGCCGGCTTTGGGTTGCCAAGTTTGATGTTGAGGAGGAGGGCCGAGCCTTAGCTGAAAGGTTATTATTACAGGGTTACATTTTCCTTTATTTCCACATGATTGATTTCTAAATATTTCCCTTTCTTACTTTCTCAGACTCTTGGAGTCTCTGAATCTGGAGTTGGTACCTGAGATCTGCTCCCTGCTGATTGGAGATGTCACCCACCATGAAGAAGCAGTCCGCTCTGCAGCAGCTGAAGCTCTGTCGAGCGCTGTTTCCCAGTACAGAGACCAGTCTGCTGCAGTGCTCGGCCAGCTTACTGAGCTCTACCATGAGAAACTCTATGTGAGACTCACTGCACACAGCCTTTAACATGCCTGTCTCTTATGAAACAATGTGAGTCTGATGTGTTTGTATGCCTTCTGTTTTTAAAGAGACCCCCTCCTGTGCTGGATGCTTTGGGCAGAGTCATCTCTGAATCTCCTCCTGACCAATGGGAAGCCAGGTAACTCTCAATAGTTTTACAAGAGCCTTTTGAAGTTGTAATCTCAGGAGTTGAATAGAAAAATCTATATGCTCCATGAATCAACTTCAAACAGCCTAAACATGTGACCAACAAGTCTGAAAGTGTTTGCCCACTTCTATGACACAATACCTTTTAATTTCTGAAGGACGTTTTCACAGTTATTTGTTGCTGTGTCAGTTATCATAAAATCCTGTGTGTAAGACGCACTTTTTATACCTATTTATTAAAGCGGACATATGATGAAAAATCCACTTCTACAGTGTTGTTGAACATATATTTGTGTAACGTGAGTGTCTACTGACCCACAACGTGAAATAAACCCATCCAGTCCTTTGTTTGTGGTCTGCATAAGTCTTACAACACAGAGAAAAATGCTCTGTTTCAAATGTGCTCTCCTTGTGATGTCACAGTGGGATTCTGGTAAAAAAAAAATCACCTCCCCTCCCCTGGTATCTCCACCCATGGACTCCACCCCCAGCCTTGAACAAAACTTTTGAGCAGGTCCTCCATTTTTATTCTCTCTACAGAGGAGTGATGTCTACTGGGAAAACTCAGGGGGGGGGCCTCATTGCATTTAAAGAGACACACACCAAAACGGAGCCTTTTGAGAGAGCTGGTTTATACAGGGTCACAAACCTCCTCTGGTGCTTGATTCATGTTATATTTTGACCAAAGCACAGCACAGATGTTTCATTTAGACCACAGGGGACTGTTTGAAAAGGTGGAGAAGGGGGATAATATGTCCTCTTTAATCTAAAAAGGTGGATGCGTCTTATACACCCATGCGACCAATATACCAGTATAAAATTCTGTGTCTGTATGGGTTTAATTTGTAAAACTCAACAGACATCTACGTTGTTGAAGGCATGTGCAAACTTACATTTTAAGGAATTTTTACACTTTACTTTCATTTCAGCATAAATCTTACTGAACAATTACGGTTTTACTCTGAAGTAAAATACTTTTTTTCTATTTGTTCACAATGATGGGTAAAATATATGAAATGTACGAAGGCTGGGGTCCTCCAAGGAGGCGGCCCGGGTTCGAGTCAGACCTGTGGCTCCTTTCCCGCATGTCACCCCCTACTCTCTCTCTCTCTCTCTGATTTCCCATCTCTATCCACTGTCCTGTTTCTACATTAAAGGCACAAAAAGCCAAAAAGAAAAATCCTTTAAAAAAACATCTTGCGACCCCCCTCTAAGTGTCTCGTGACCATCCAAGGGGTCCCAACCCCCACTTCGGGAAACATTGGTATATTGTTCCGTAAGTAAACCTTGTGGAGTGCTCTTCTAATTGAAAGAGTCCTGTGTTAAAGTTAAAGAGTGATGTGATCATGAATACTGATCCTGTTAAAGTTTTTTAGATTATAGACGCTTCCTTCCTGTCAACTGAAGGCTGTCTTCTTCTTCTTCTTCTTCTTCTTTTTGTTTTTTGTCAGGTGTGGAATCGCTCTGGCGCTGAACAAGCTGTCCCAGTATCTGGATGAATCTCAGGTCACCCCTCTCTTTCTCTTCTTCGTTCCCGATGCACTGAACGATCGCCACCCTGAGGTGCGGCGCTGCATGCTGGATGCCGCCCTCTCTGCTCTTAACACACATGGAAAGGTACTGATCTCGCCTTTTTTTCAGCCAGCTTCTACAGATCACTGCGCATGAACACATAGATGCCTCGTTTACATGTTCATGATTATTTCTCTGTCTGATCCAACAGGATAACGTCAGCTGCCTGCTTCCAGTTTTTGAGGAGTTTCTGAAAAACGCCCCCCAGGACGCCAGCTACGACTCTGTGCGTCAGAGCGTGGTTATTCTCATGGGCTCCTTGGCCAAACATCTGGACAAGAATGACCCCAAGGTCAAGCCCATCGTGGCTAAGCTCATCACTGCCCTCTCCACACCTTCACAGCAGGTATCAAACCTTCTCTGTATTCTTAGAGTTTGAATATTTATACTTTAATGATCCTACTTTACTTAGCGTTAAACTTGCTTTACGATAGTTCCACATGGTGTGTCCTCCCTCGTCAGGTCCAGGAATCTGTTGCGGGTTGTTTACCTCCGTTAGTCCCTGCTATAAAGGAAGACGCTGCAGGAATAGTGAGGAACCTTTTACAGCTGCTGCTGGAGAGCGACAAGTACGCAGAGAGGAAGGGAGCAGCTTACGGACTGGCCGGCCTGGTCAAAGGTCTCGGCATCCTGGCACTCAAACAGCAGGAAATTATGACCACACTGACCGACGCCATCCAGGACAAGAAGAACTTCAGACGGAGAGAAGGTCAGTTTACATTTCTATGAATCTTTCCAGTGTCCTTCACTGGCACTCAATTATCCAACAATACTAATACAGAAACAACTCCCGTCTCTCGTCTCTGTGCAGGAGCTCTGTTTGCCTTTGAGATGCTGTGCAACATGCTGGGGAAGCTGTTTGAGCCTTACGTGGTTCACGTGCTGCCACACCTCTTGCTCTGCTTTGGAGACGGGAATCAGTACGTCAGAGAGGTGAGGCCGATATCACCCCTGAACCCTGAACCTTTTCTGCATTCAAATCTTCATTTGCTCAAACTCAGTCTTGCACTTCAGGAGGATTTTGTCTTGCATGTTCTGGATGTGCTGGATCTAAATGTCCTTCATTAGAATGCGAGGTCTTTCTGCATTGTCCACAGTTTGGACTGCATGTTAATACTGTGTTTAAGGTATTAAATGGACTTGCCCCCACCTACCTCTCAGAACTCCTGTCCCCATATTAGCTGGTGAGAGATCTTAGGTCATCAGCACAAACCTTCTGTCACTGCCTAGATCCAGGACAAGGTGCAATGGGGATCGGGCTTTTTCTATTGCAGGACCAAAACTATGGAACTCTTTGCCCTCAGACATCCGTCTCTCTGACTATTAAAACTCGCCTTAAGACATATTTATACTCAATTGCCTTTAAAGGCTTTATATGTGATTTTTCACACTTGAATGTAATATAAATCAAGTATATCCTCTGAAAATAACTCTGTGAGTCATGACTGTCTACAATGGGTGTAACACCCGAGTCCCACTGTCTGTGATGTTTTCAGAGTTTTCAGAGTCCTATCTTCACTTTGTTTACATTGCCAGGACGGCCGGCTGACTCCTCCCCTCGCGAATAAAAGTTGTTTAATTGAGGGACTAGAGAAAAGAAGAATAACATACTGTACTCACTGCTTAACTGTGTTTCTAGATCACGCTCATTTCAGGTAAATTTACATGCAGTGTGAAGATACAAGCATAATAAAGATCGCTAGCATTAGCATGCTAACACAACAATGCAGCGCAAGTTGTTTTGGTTTCATGCTGGTGCTCAAGGGCGACATCTGCTGGATCAAAAAATCACATATAAAGCCTTTAATGTTCAGTAATCGTCAAGCACAAAAACCCATAGCTCTGTTATTCTTGTGTTACACTGGACTTAACTGTCACTTCTTATTTTCTTTTTGTATGGTTGTTGTTCTTGTCTGTTAAATTCTAATGCTTTGTTTTCTGCAATGTTCAGCACTTTGGATCAACTATGTTGTGTTTAAAGTGCTATATAAATAATGTTGAGTTATTCATGCAAAAGGTTCAGACATTTAATAAAAGAAATAACAATCACACAAAGACTTTGCATCTTCTTGCAAAAGGCTGCAGACGACTGCGCCAAGGCTGTGATGAGAAACCTGAGTGCCCATGGAGTTAAACTGGTGCTCCCCTCCCTGCTGGTGGCCCTGGAGGAGGAGTCCTGGAGAACTAAAGCAGGTGAGGAGCCTTCCTCCTGAGAGGATGCATCTTTTGCACATTACCTATAATATCTAGATGCATCGTCTGTCCCTGCTCGATGACACCCCTCTCTCCTCCAGGCTCAGTGGAGTTGCTCGGTGCCATGGCGTTCTGTGCTCCCAAGCAGTTGTCCTCCTGCCTGCCCAGCATCGTTCCCAAGCTGACTGAAGTGCTGACCGACTCCCACGTGAAGGTGCAGAAGGCCGGCCAGCAGGCCCTCCGACTCATCGGCTCTGTTATCCGCAACCCTGAAATCTTGGGTAAGTGACTGAAGCCTGTCTTAACCCTGCTGTCAGCGAACCTCCTGGGTGGTTTGGTTACAAGTGAACGTCTTGTAAACACACTCAGGACGGATTGAAATCCAGTCAGTCAGGCTACGTTTGGACGTATTAAAGGACCGTTTCCATAGCAACAATCACATGATGATGTAAAGGACCATTCACCTCTAACAGTTGATTCAATGTTTTTCTACAGTTACAGTGAATATATATATATATATTTTTTTTTTTCTTTCAACATATTTTTATTAAAGCAAGTTCAAGACATACAGTGGAATTGGGATGCCGTCAACATTTTTCTTTTTTCCCCCCGAAACATTCAAAAACCCAGTATCACTTCTCCCTATAAACAACCCTCCCAGTCCAACAAATAGACCTCTTAGTTCTAAAGTGCAAGAGTGGAAAACTCACAAAATAAAATACAATAACTAAATAAAAATAAATAGATAAGCGTAAAAAAATAAAAGTACATCAATCAATCGTCATTTGTACTGTGCCTAGTCATAACAAGTGTTATCTCGAGACGCTTTACAAAAGACCATATTGTTGTCCACACTTCCTCGCCGCTGAGGTGGAGGTCGGAGCAGGCCGTGCATGAAGGAGGATGGCGGTGGTTTAGGGGACGACCCAGTCTGATGGTGGAGGCTGGTCGTCAGGCGGTGGTGTCTGATCAGGTTTATGAACTAATACTCAAAAAGGTAGCATACGTTATAAATAACCACATGCAGTACGTCTACCTGTGAAGCCTCACATGACTGATGCATCAAAAACGAGTATTTTGACACGGTGCATTTGTTCCTCTCTCAGCCATCACCCCCATCCTGCTGGATGCTCTCACTGATCCGTCCAGGAGGACTCAGACATGTCTGCAGACGCTGCTGGACACTAAGTTTGTACACTTCATCGACGCCCCCTCTCTGGCCCTGATCATGCCCATCGTCCAGAGAGCCTTCCAGGATCGCTCCACCGACACTCGTAAGATGGCCGCTCAGATCATCGGCAACATGTACTCCCTGACTGACCAGAAGGTACACATCACTTTACCACTCCATGAGTCCTTTAAACCACTGCAGTGTGAAGGCGTATTTGTTGTGTGAGATGTGATTTCCTGTTGCTCTCTATAGGATCTGTCACCTTACCTACCAAGTGTCATTCCTGGACTGAAGGCCTCCCTGTTGGACCCGGTGCCTGAGGTGTGTCAAATCATCGACACAGTACTTCAGTATTTAGTGTTGTGTCTTTGAATGGTAGCTGAAGTTACTCTTCTTCCTCTCCTCTTCAGGTACGTACGGTTTCAGCCAAAGCCCTGGGCGCCATGGTGAAGGGGATGGGTGAATCCTGCTTTGACGACCTGCTGCCGTGGCTCATGGAGACCTTGGCGTCTGAACAGAGCTCTGTAGACCGCTCCGGAGCTGCACAAGGTCGGTGCTCTTACACTCTGCCCCTGCACTGTTTCTGAGTCGTAATCATGTGACTTCATTTATTTTAATATATATTTATTAAGATTTATTTTTGTGCCTTTTAATGGAGAGATGAGTCAGAAATCAGGGAGAGAGAGAGAGTAGGGAAAGGAACCACAGGTGGGACACGAACCTGGGCCGCCCGCTTTGAGGACCATAAAACGTCCTAAAACCCTTAAGTTAGCATTGTAGCGTCATGGAGTCTAATGTCTAAAAGTCAATGTGGATTTTGAATGGGTTTGTGGTTAGACGCCTGAAATAAGGTCTGTGGTTAACACAAGCTGAAGAGATGTTGGTGTTTTGTTAGACCACATTAACTACGTTAGGTTGTGAATTTTGAAGTTTTTACACGTCTTTAAAAAGGCGGTTGCTAACAAGTGGCTAAATGTGACTACAGTGGTTGTCGGGGACATTAAACATCATCACCCTGGACACAGAGGTCGGGAACTCTCTCACTAGTCGGAGATGTCTCCTGTAGGTTTAATCTTTAGGTTAAGGTGAATATTATGTTAGTAAACTATTTATAAAGCTATGTGGATTAGTTTATCAGAGATCATCTGAAACATAACGCTAGTGACGTCACAATCATCCGACCGTGGTGTAGCTAGCTTTAGCATAACATTAGCTTTTTACTTCTGTCGCCTACGCTTCAGAAACGTGTGTTTGTCACAGAGCTTATTTTCTGAAATGATCCAAAATCCAATGAAAAAATCCCATAGGAGAATTCTCAACAGACCCCATGGAGATGCTACTTCCTGGTTGGCCTATAATAAACACGTCATATGGTTTTTTCTCTGTAGCCTCCATACATGGGGCGTGCTCACTAACCACTGAGCCACCATCGCCACCATGTGACTTAATTCATGACGTGTGTTTTGTGTCTTTAGGTCTGGCTGAAGTGATGGCCGGACTGGGAGTTGAGAAGTTAGACAAGCTGATGCCAGACGTCGTACAAACAGCCAGCAAGGTGGACATCGCGTCCCACGTCAGAGACGGCTACATCATGATGTTCATCTACCTGCCGCTGACCTTTGGAGACAGGTTCACTCCCTATGTCGGGCCGATCATCCCCTGCATCCTCAAGGTATCATAAGGAATGTTTTAGATTTATTCTCTGAATGTCTGCATGAAGGATCTCAAACACCCACTGCTCCTCCGTCTCTGCATTGTCCACCAGGCTCTGGCCGATGAGAATGAATATGTGAGAGACACCGCGCTCCGAGCAGGCCAGCGAATCATCAGCATGTATGCTGAGACCGCCATTGCGCTGCTGCTTCCCGAGCTGGAGCAGGGTCTGTTTGACGACCTGTGGAGGATCAGGTCAGAATGAAACACACATCATCAGAACATCAGGGAGATGATAATAAAGGTCTGTTATATATTGACCAGGTGTTCATGTCGTCGTTTCTCTGCAGGTTCAGCTCAGTGCAGCTGCTCGGAGATCTGTTGTTCCACATCTCTGGAGTGACCGGGAAGATGACCACGGAGACGGCATCTGAGGACGACAACTTTGGAACGGCTCAATCCAATAAGGCATGAGGACATTTCTCTTCTTCAATACAAGAAGTTTTGTTTCTTTACTCACCAAAGCTTTCAGAGATAGGTTTGTTGTTGACCTTTAACCTTTACTCCACCAGGCAATCATCGGGGCTCTTGGCGGTGAGCGGCGTAACCGGGTCCTGTCCGGTCTCTATATGGGCCGTTCAGACACTCAGCTGGTGGTCCGACAAGCTTCCCTCCATGTGTGGAAGATAGTCGTGTCCAACACACCCAGAACTCTCCGAGAGATCCTCCCGACCCTCTTCAGTCTGCTGCTGGGCTTCTTGGCTTCCAACTGTCCCGACAAGAGAACGGTAACCCTCATCATCAGCACGTGTAAAGTCCGTTCTGTTTAACTGACCCCACAGCGTCACCGTCTACAGAGCTCTTCTTTTGTGTGATTTAGATCGCTGCCAGGACGCTGGGTGATCTGGTCCGAAAGCTAGGAGAGAAGATTCTTCCTGAGATCATCCCCATCCTGGAGGAGGGGCTGCGCTCTGAGAAGAGTGACGAGAGGCAGGGAGTCTGCATCGGCCTCAGCGAGATCATGAAGTCCACCAGCAAAGACGCGGTGAGCCGAGAAAATCATGTAGTAACTCACAGAAACATGCAGTAACACATGAATAACTTACAGATCACAGTCGTGAAGTAAGAGATGATCAACACTCTGTTCAGTTGTGTTTTATAGACTTCTTTAGAGGAGCACATTACTTATATCCAACCTGTCAGCAGGAACTTTAGTCTACTCTCCTTCAACAAACAATTTTCAGATTCTTCACCTGATTTTTAGCAGCCTTCAAACCTCAGGAAAAAAAACAGTGAGATGTATAGTGAGTGAAATGATAAAGGTGTCTTACTATCTGATCAGACATTAAGGAAACATGCTATGTTGAAGTGCTGGCTTCTCTGACAACAATGCAGCAGCCAGTATGTCCTCCTTCTAACTTTAGATTCTGCTCCTGAATGCTCTGGATTTGTTTGGACCAGAGAAGGTGGGCGCTTTTAAGGCACCCCCCACACGGCCGTTTTGGATGCCCCTCTGTTTGTCAGATATGAGAGCAGTTATCAGGTCAAACCAATAGGTGTTGCAGTGATGGAAGCGGGCAAGAGAAGTGATTGTACCCGACCTAAAAAGCCTCTGCATGTTTCTAATAAGCTCCACACAAGTCATGAACACACACATGCAGAAACAGGATCCTATGGACATGCATGGAGAGAAGCCAGAGTGACGGAGCAGCTCACAGCGGGCGCTCCTGAACTGATGGTGGGGAGGGAGTTTGGTGCCTTGCTCAGGGGCACCTCGGCAGTGCTCAGGAGGTGATCTGGCACCTCTCCAGCTACCAGACCAAATTCCATATTTGGTCCGCACCGGGACTTGAACCGGCGACCCTCCGGTTCCCAACCTAAGTCCCTACAGACTGAGTTACTGCCGCCCAGAAGATGCTTTTGAAAAATGGAGAGAGGTTAGAACACAGAAAGGTTTACAGACCCATGCAGAGCTGGATAAACACTGAAGCCACCACATGGCAACCTGTGTGAGCATCCACTCTAGAGAGGAGGGGGGGAGACAGCTCTCTACAATGTTTAGAATTTAGACTGCAGTACCCACTTCAACCACTAGGTGTCAGAGTTACATATCAAGAATCAAATGTTTGCTGCAATTACAGTAAAATGAATGAATATCAAGGTTCAAAATGTAATGAAACTTTACACTTTCTGCATTTTAAGTGATTGTCACAAATGAGTGTTCAGGGAGTCCTGGTGACATATTGAGGAGGATGAGACATCAATCAATCTTTATTTGCACAGCGCCGATTCACAACACACGCTTTGAATCTAAACAGTAACCTGGTGCATGTCCATCTCTCCTTACTTTCTGTAAGTCATTATGTAATGAGAGTGGATCCCAAATATATTGTCACGAGTCCTTGTTCCAGCAGGAAGATGAGATTGAGTTTAGAAAACTTTCATAAAAACAGAAACATAAACCATGAACAATAGCATAGAAACATTTCTGTTTGATAATCGAGGATCATCATTTGTGGTTTTCTTTGAAATCGATGAAACATTAACCTCTTGGTGTTGTTGTGTAGGTGCTGGTCTTCTCAGAGTCCCTGGTCCCAACAGTGAGGAAGGCTCTCTGCGACCCTCTGGAGGAGGTCCGAGAGGCTGCAGCCAAAACCTTTGAGCAGCTGCACGCCACAATCGGCCACCAGGCGCTGGACGACATCCTGCCGACGCTGCTCAAACAGCTGGTGAGGAAACAGAGACACGACTTCACTTTAAAGTTTCTAATGGAGATGTTATAAACACTAACACTGAATGTGTCTCCAGGATGACGAGGACACGGCAGAGTTTGCCTTGGACGGTCTGAAGCAGGTCATGGCGGTGAAGAGTCGCTCTGTGCTGCCTTACTTAGTGCCAAAGGTGAAAGGTCACAGTCCCCATCTCAGTACTTTCACAACGTTAACAGTGTTTGATTATGTTGCTGTGTTTGACTAAAGTGAACGTCTTCTCTGGTTTTAACAGCTGACGGCTCCTCCTGTGAACACCCGTGTGTTGGCGTTCTTGTCGGCGGTGGCGGGCGATGCTCTGACACGCCACCTCGGGGTCATCCTGCCCGCCATACTCTCCTCCCTGAAAGAAAAGCTGGGATCGGAGGATGAAGCCCAGGTAACGACGGCAGAGCTGCTCTGAAGCCTTTTATTATAGTTTCATTTTACAGATCACACCGTAATCGATAAACGTTCTGCCCTTGCTTCAGGAACTGTGCAGCTGTCAAACTGTGATCCTCTCCGTGGAGGACGAGGTCGGCCAGCGGATCATCATAGATGACCTGCTGGAGGCCGCACGAGGCCCCGACCCTGGCCTCAGACAGGCCGCCGTCACCATCCTCAACGGCTACTTCGCCCGCACTCGCCTGGACTACAGCGCTCACACTCGCACGCTGCTGTCGGGGCTGATCCGCCTTCTGAATGACTCCAACCCGGACGTCCTGGTTCAGAGCTGGGACACCATCAACTCCATCACCAAGGTATGTTGATAAGACGAGAGCTTTTAACCCTCAGACATCAGGCCTCAGTAATTATCAGGAATCTAACCCTTTAAATGCCAGTTTGATTACATGATTCTGGCATTTAAAGGGTTAAATTCCTGATAATTATTCAATATTTGATAGTTTTGAGCAGGGCTGGAGTTGTTTAAGAGATTTATGCAGAAATAAGTAGAAAGAAATATCAATCTGTTCTATTTTTATATCAGTTTTTTTGTAAGTGGACATTGTTGTCCTTAGTGACTTCAGAGGGAAGTAAACATGTTTCTCAGTGTTCTATTGATCTAATTAAAAAAAAAGAAAATGTGCATTCCAAAATGTGTCAAGAGAGAGACTTTCTTACAAAAATGTGTTCCATATGCACTAACACAGACAAAATGATGACCAGATGAAGAGGAAACATTTGACCAAATGGACAAAAATGTCCATAATGATGCATGAAGGTTAACACTTTCATCAAGAAGAGAATGTGACCTGATGATGTTTTCTTTCTGGGTGTGTAGAAACTGGATGCCAGCAGCCAGCTGGCTCTGATTGATGACCTGCATCGAGACATCAGATCAGTAGCTGCAGACGTGAAGGGTCAGCACCTGCCTGGATTCTGTCTGCCCAAAAAGGTAAGAAGGCTCCTTCTGACATCAACACTTTATCAACCTTAAATACATGTAGATGATGTCCAGCTTTCACTGAATTGTCACGTCTTCTGAGCTACTTTAAATAAGTTCTGACCATGCAAGGGACGGAGGCATAATATGTGACTGTACTTATTACTCACTATTTAAAGAAACATCAGACTCCAGTTGTTTTCTCCTCCTTCTCTCCCTCACATCTTCGACCAAACAGGAATGAGGTTAATCCGGATTTATCTGCAATTCTTGAATTTTCCAACCTGAAAACTTGACCCACAATCTGTCTTTATCTGTGGAAGTGTTTCAGCACACACAGACTACAGCTGGGCCGCTCGTCCAGGTAGCATAAGTTCAAGATTTGAGAAAGGCTTTTTTTTTAATGTCCTCGTACAATAACCCTTTTAGATCAATGAACCAGTGGGCTGTGTGCACTTTGCTCTCTAACACTTAACATCTTCACATGTTCATTTTAAACGCACAGTATGTAAACCCCACCACCAGGGGGCTCTCAATCAAAACAATAACAACAGAGACAGCAGCCTCCACCATCAGTGTGTGAATGTGTAGGTGTGACCTGCCAGGTAAAAGCACTTTGAGTAGTCAGAAGACTACAAAAGTAAAGTCCATTTTCCATTCACCATTGCAAATTATTGCATTTAGAAAGATCTTAATTTAAAGGCACATCTGTCGATTTCTTTTTTGGTGTTTGGGACGAGGCAGGAAGGTTGCTGGGTGTGTCTGAGAGGAGATCTTCTGTGATTATGATAAAATGTTAAACAATAGCTGGCAGACAGATATTTTTCCTCCTTCAACTGTTTATTATGACAAATATCACAAATATCCGGAATGAGTTTCTGTGTTGTTCACACGAGGAAACTGTTCATCTTTTATTTCTTAATACTTGTGACTGCTTTGAGGACTACAAACAATGTAAACCTAAGAAGTCCAGCTGCACCTCAGCCAGTGAAAAACCTTTGATTAGTTAGAAATATGATCATTATCTACTGATGTTAATATCCCTTCTATGTCAGAGGATCAACATGTGAGGATTCACTGCTGCTCACTTCTTTACTTTGTCATCATTTGGATGTTCAAACTTCAAGTAGCTCCATGCTTCATGTTTCTGATTTCTCTTTCCTCAGGGTGTGACCTGCATCCTGCCTGTGCTCAGGGAAGGTGTCCTCACTGGTAGTCCAGAGCAGAAGGAAGAGGCTGCTAAAGCATTAGGAGGGGTGATTAAACTGACCTCCCCTGAGGCACTGCGGCCCTCGGTGGTGAACATCACAGGACCACTCATCCGCATATTGGGAGACCGATTTGCCTGGACAGTCAAGACGGCTCTGTTGGAGACTCTCACCCTGCTGCTTGCAAAGGTCTGAATCTGTTTAATGATGGGTAATGAGACATGGGATGAACACATTGACTCACCTCTGGATTGTGTTCCTCCACCAGGTGGGCATTGCCCTGAAGCCCTTCCTGCCTCAGCTGCAGACGACCTTCTTGAAAGCTCTGCAGGACTCGAGCCGCGCCGTCAGGCTGAGGGCCGCCGAGGCTCTCGGTCAGCTGGTGTCCATTCACTCTAAGGTGGACCCGCTCTTCACCGAGCAGCTCGCTGCCATCCGCAATGCTGAGGACTCCGGAGTCAGGTGAGCTCTCACTCAGCATTTTATTTATTTATTTATGGTGTAATCTCTCACTCAACACTTATTTATTTATTTATGGTGTGATCTCTCACTCAACACTTATTTATTTATTTATGGTGTGATCTCTCACTCAACATTTATTTATTTATTTATGGTGTGATCTCTCACTCAACATTTATTTATTTATTTATGGTGTGATCTCTTACTCAACATTTATTTATTTATGGTGTGATCTCTCACTCAACATTTATTTATTTATGGTGTGATCTCTCACTCAACATTTATTCATTTATTTATGGTGTGATCTCTCACTCAGCATTTATTTATTTATTTATGGTGTGATCTCTCACTCAACATTTATTTATTTATGGTGTGATCTCTCACTCAACATTTAACTAAACTGTACTTAAGTAGGTGTTCTGTCCTTTGATGCTCTAATTCAACTATTTACAGCAAAGGAATGAATCTGCTTTTGACATCACAGGACCCAATAAGACAACTCCCTTTTCACTCCACCTTACTGGAGGAGAATGGTGGGTGAGAGTGGCTAATCATTCAAACACTCAAAGCTTGATCCAGAAGATGACTGGACTTAGTTGAAGTTCTTGGTCCAGTCGTTTGCAAGCCTGCTGCAGCTCATTCTTCCTGGATATTAATGAATTTATTAAAGTTATAAAAACCTCTGCTATCAATGGCTTCCTTGGCACCTGTTTCAAACCCGCATTCTCCTCTTGTCTGCATGTGAACCTAACTGTCTGTGAAGGAGTGTCAGGTGACGCTGAAGAATCTGGACCTGGAGGTGATTCTGTGGCGGGTTATACATTTGAGAAGGGGTTGTTTTGGTGTATAATCCAGGATTCCCACTCGTCCTGGAAAATCTGGAAAACCTGGAAAACAGTTGACTACTTTTTCCAGTACTGGAAAACACCTGGAAAATGACAGAAAAAGTCAAATGTCCTGGAAAATTATTCCAACACTCTCCTACAGAGTTGGACATTTTCACCACCACACGTTAATAAAAGTATCTATTTGTTACATAATCCACAACGCAGATTGACTCGAATTCTATAGATAATGTAATGGCTCCGCCTCCCCCTCGTGTCAAAAGCTATTTATTTAAAATAATATCTGGAAAAGAGTGGGAACCCTGATAATCCCCTTCATTCCTTGATGCATTGAATGGCTGAATACGTCTCTCAGTTTGTTTCTGATGTGTCCTTTGGGTGGACAAGGCTCTGTCTTAATGTGATCAATGGTTTGAATTGAGCTTAAGCACGTTACAGGATAACTTTGCCTAGTGTGACCCCACCTTAACTGTCATCCTGCGTGGCGATTTCTGTTGTGTTCAGCAAAGTTCAGTTTCTGTGCAGCTGTGTCTTTTAATCCCGTCTGTTTTCACTTGGTGGAGTTTACTCTTCTACTAGCTACAGTAGTCGAGCTCTCAGCCTTCGCTCAAAGTTGTGATGTTCAGACCCTCGTCCCTCGACTCACTCGAGTGGTTTCTGAACCGTCCTCTTTCCCTCTGCCCTTTACGGCACATTTTGAGCCATACCATGTCAGGTTCTTAATTCTTACAACCCTGAATCCTGTAAATAGTGCAAGTAGCTTCTGGTCCACACAACCATTAGCATACTAGCTCTGTCGACCAGTCAGTTAGGTACTGAAGAAACCTGAATGTTGAATCATCAAGATGAGTTTTCAGACAATGATTGTGAAAACATTTGTTTATATTCCTGTGAATCCTGGAACCAATTAAGACCCCCTTGTCAGGATCAGGGGTCCTGACACGGGGTCCCAAGAGGACACGCTGAAGAAAAGATAACACATACCTTTATTATTACTTTATTGATGTTTTTAAAGTTTGCATTGTCCTCTTCAAACCTGTGAGGGTCCTCCAGGTGGAGCAGTCTGAAAACAACCTTCTGTCTTTGGTTAAATTACTCACACCTCTATCCTGTGAGGAGAGGATGTGACAACGTGCCACCTCAGACACAGAGGTGTGGCAACAGGATGCATTCATGATGTTTGCTCTTTGTCAAACTACTGATGATTAGCTTCAGTCCTGAGAGGATCAATGGAAGCGAGGCTCCATGTGTGAAATGAGAGAAGCCCATCACAAAGGAGGACACTGCTGAGTTGATCCACTTTAAATTGTCCCACTGAGATCACATCTTTGTCCCGTTTTAAATCAGCACATGAAACAGACTGAACATCAGTGTTGCTTTATTCTTTAAAATCAGTATTAAGCTACAAACTAAATCAAATGGAGTGTGCTCGCTGCATTTTTAAATACTGTTTAAATGATGCTTTGTGTTTTTACTTCATGCTCGACTGTGTTCTGATTCCCCACAGAGAGACCATGCTCCAGGCTTTAAGGTTTGTCATCCAGGGGGCCGGGGCCAAGGTGGACCCAGCCATCCGCAAGACCATCACCCCCACATTACTGGGCATGCTGGGACATGACGAGGTATGAGAGGAGGAGCTACTAGAAGATGTTCTTTAAAACTCAAAGCCCTGATGGCTGCTGAATGCATGACGTGATGACTCACAAATAAAAAGTATTTCACACATGGAGCAATTTCACAGAGCGGTGTTCATCACAGTCGTTTCCTCAGAGCAGAAAAACGGAAGTCAAGTAGAGAGGATGTGGTTTTATGAAGAGTTTGAAACCTTTATGAACCTGTCTTCTGTCTGCTTGTGTGTGTGCGTGTGCGTGTGCGTGTGTGTAGGATGCAACACGTATGGCGTCGGCTGGCTGTATCGGTGAGCTGTCTGCCTTCCTGTCAGAAGAGGAGCTGAAGACTTTGTTACTTCAGCACGTCTTGGGTCGGTATATCACATATGACATCATCTCTTATTTAATGTCCTTTATGTTGTGGTTCATCACAGACGTTACATCGATGTTGATGAAACGTTATGCAGTACAGACGTCCATCATCACAGTATCATGGACGTGTGACTCTGACTAACATGTCTTCTTGCCCTTCAGCGGACGTGTCCGGTGTCGACTGGATGGTACGTCATGGCCGCAGCTTGGCACTGGCCATAGCTGTGAAATGTGCTCCTGAGAAGCTGTGTGGGAAGGACTACTGTGACACGGTGATGGAGAGCGTGTTGGCTAATGCCACCGCTGACCGGGTGAGGAGAACATCTGAGCAGCTCTCGCGTCTGTACAAAGATATCGCTCACATCTGTGGAGAACTGGTCACTCGTGCTTCGATGCATATCGTGTACAAAGTGACCTTTAATGATGGAGTTGGATTCATATGGTTTGAATGTAACTTTAAGGCCCTGTGTCCACCTTCAGTTTTTGCTGTACAGTAAAGCGCTGGCTGTGCACTAAGGAGCAGTGTCGTCCTGTCTCTATGACAACAGTCTGTGGACAACAGCCGCTGTATGACCGTCACTGCTCTGTTACTTTTTAATGCATGTTTTGATAAATCATTTTTACTCCAGCAGACACGGAGCAAATAGTATGTGGGTACAAGACACGATCCATACGGGGAATGTCACACATTTGGAAAAGAGCTCCGGTTACATAAACAGCGCCTTTCCTTAAAAATTTAAAGATTTTCAACTTAAGGGGTCAGAGCGGCCGCAAAAAAAAAAGGTGGGGCGCTTGGAAAAAAGACGCTGGGTGCTGCGCTTTTTTCCCCATGCATCGTCTGCTGCTTCAAACTCTCTACTCATTGAGAACAATTGAGAAAAGACGCTGGTGCTACAAACCAGTTGGACACGGGGCCTAATGTTACCAGGCAACCAGAGGAAGTTCAAGGAAGTCCCTACTTCTAGGATGTAGTAGAATTAAAGAAAAACAAAGGACTGAATGGGTTTATTTCACATTTTGTGGGTCAGTAGACACTCCGGTTACCCAAATATATGTTCAAGAACACTGTAGAAGTGGATTTTTCAGAATGTGTCCCCTTTAATACAGGATTTAACAAATACTGAGAAAGTATAAATATCTTTATTTTCTGTCCATATAACAACGACCTCTTATGTCTTATACTGTTCCATCACTTGCACTTACACAGCCGATGCTTTTGCCCTCACATGGGGCGGCTGTGGCTCAGAGGTAGAGTCCGTCATCTCTCAACCAAAAGGTTGGGGGTTCAATCCCCAGCTCCTGCAGCCACATGTTGATGTGTTCTTGGGCAAGACACTTAACCCAAAGTTGCTTCTGCGTATGAATTGATGAGTTAATACTGATGGACATTTCTGCTCTCCTTACAGATTCCCATAGCGACCAGTGGGATCAGAGCGATGGGATACCTGATGAGGCATCATCTCCAAACTGAAGGAGGCAGCAGTGTTTCCCAGCGCACCATCACACAGTTTGTCAAGGTAGAGGCTCCAAAACATCCACTAATGCTGCCTCCAAGTATAGGTGGTGTCATACCAGTGGTTTGTATAAGAACAACTAGACAGAGCAGTAAATAAAGACTTAAAGGCCAAAACAATGTGTGGAAAGGAAATAAAGAAAACAGTGATGAGTACCTACAGGGTCAGACACTCGTTTGTTCCTCAACCTGCGACTGAGACGGATCGTTGAAAGTTCAGAAAGGCGACTGTGTTTACATCAAGACTTCAGCGTAGATTACAGAACAATGAAAAACAGAGTGTGTGGTACCTGATCAGTATTTATAATCTGTACCAGGTGAACTGAAGTTCCTCATATTCTTATCTTCAAATGAAATGTGTCAATAAAGAAAACACATGAGGTTGTAGGTGGTCTGGAGGTTTTACTGACCACCACAGTGAACGTTCACTCTGAGATTTACAGGAGCTCATTTCATTAAGTGGGGACTTGCTTTGACAGTTGGGTTCTGTATATTGATGTCGCTTGTCTGTGTGACCACGCAGTGTCTTCAGAATCAGTCGAGTGACATCAGACTGGTGTCGGAGCGGGTGCTGTGGTGGGTTTTCAAAGACCCAGCTACGCCCTCCATGGAGGCCAGTCTCATCAAGCCCCTGCTGAAGAGTCTGCTGGACAACACCAAGGACAAGAACACCAGCGTCAGAGCTCAGAGTGAACACACCATAGTGAACCTGCTGCGGCTCCGCCAGGGAGAGGAAACTATGCAGGTGAGACTGCACACTTTCTAAAAACCACAAATACAACACTCACTGGGGCGGCTGTGGCTCAGGTGGTAGAGTCGTCGTCTCTCATCTGGAAGGTTGTTAACCCCTAGTTACTCCAGCTGCTTCATCAGCGGTGTATGAATGGATGAGTTAACACTGATGGACTCTTTCTCAGCAGCCTCTACCATCAGTGTGTGAATGTGTATGAATGGATGAGTTAATACTGATGGACTCTTTACTCAGCAGCCTCTACCATCAGTGTGTGAATGTGTATGAATGGATGAGTTAATACTGATGGACTCTTTACACAGCGGCCTCTACCATCAGTGTGTGAATGTGTATGAATGGATGAGTTAATACTGATGGACTCTTTACTCAGCAGCCTCTACCATCAGTGTGTGAATGTGTATGAATGGATGAGTTAATACTGATGGACTCTTTACACAGCAGCCTCTACCATCAGTGTGTGAATGTGTATGAATGGATGAGTTAATACTGATGGACTCTTTACTCAGCAGCCTCTACCATCAGTGTGTGAATGTGTAGGTGTTACCTGAGGTGTAAAAGAGCTTTGAGGAGTCAGAAGACTAGAAAAGAACAATGTAAGTCAATTTACCTTACTCTGTCTGTTCTTCTCCAGAGTATTTCTGCCATTCTGGACTCTGCTAGCAACGACCTGCTGTCTGAGTGTCATCGGCGCTCCTTGAAGAAAATCTCCAGCCAGCCAGACTCCAATGTTTCTGTGTTTTGCAACTCAATTTACCAAACAGTGTCAGAGGTTTCAAATTCTGCTGTAATGAAAAGACGCCCCTTTCTTTAACCTTCCTTTGGACTTTTGTGTCAGAGCTTTTTTTTGGGGGGGGTGAGCGAACCACCAAAAAACTTCTTCATCATTTCAGTGATACGGTTGTAATAAGGCAATGTGAAATAAAAGATCTTGATTTCATGCTGTATTATGAGAAATGGTGGAATCTTTTTTTCTGCAGTTTGGTTTATGCACCCTAGACTTTTGAGGCGCATCACTTGGAATGACACTTGGGTAAAAGATCCAATGGGGCCTTAGCGTAGTGGTTATTACGCGTGCCTCCCATGTACCGAGGCTATAATCCTCCAAGTGGGTGGCCCAGGATTTGAATCCCACCTGTGGCTCCTTAGCTGCATGTCATTCCCCTCTTTCTGACTCTATCCACTCTCCTGTCTCTACAATAAAGGCATAAAAAAAGACAAGACTTCCACTTTAATTTAAATTGTGCTAAATTAATCACAGTTTCTGAGATGCCATTCAATTAGTGTTAATAGAGTGATATTTATATTTATTGTAATTCATAATTTTAGTTGTGTTTGAACCAACACAAACAGTTTCCATTAAATGAGCAGAATCTCTCTTAAAGAGATAAAATGTCTTCAGCTCATCTCCATCTGGTTTTCCCGCTGGGTATGTGAACTGCTGTAAATAGTGAATGACCGGGATGGATCAGGTCTGTGACGGCTCTGTTGTAGCAGGAGCCTGCGCAGTGTGTGCTGGGTGACACTTGGGTGCAGCAGCTCCACCAGAGAAGGAAGCGGAGTTTCCGGCTGTTTGAAGCGGAGTGAGAGGACTGCTGACGCCGCGAATCCCCGAGATAAACGCCGCCGGCTGGGGGGGGCTGATAATTTCTAGCATTGGTAGTGGTCGTTTGCTTTCACACCGCGGAATCTGGGGGTCTGTTTCTTATTATTACAAGCCCAGGGGGTCGGTCAGAAAACCAAGCAAAGAAGCGGCACAAGGCGGGGGGAGCCACCAGCTACCGGCATGGCCAGGGACTACGATTACCTCTTCAAGCTGCTCATCATCGGGGACAGCGGTAAGGCGACACCGGGGATGTGGGACGGGAAGTAGGCCTCGGTCTTCTTTTCTGACAAGGTGTAGAAGAAGAAATAGAGCAGTGTGTTCCCGGCGTGGGTCTACATTAGTTTAACTTGGTGATTTTGTAATTTGAATATGATTGGTGAGTTGTACACGTCCGCCATGTTATTGTGGCGTTGACAGGGCGGAGGTTGTGTGTCCGGGCGGTGCATGTCAGCCGATCAGGCCGGATATCGCACCCAGTCTCTGTCTCAGAACACATTTCTGACGTCTTTTCACTTGGCTGATACTTTAATTTGAGCACTACAACAAAACACACTCTGTGACCATCATGTCTGCACAAGCCGGCCTCCCACACTCCTCTAATTTGGCCTTATTTGTTTTTATTCTCATGTGTTAGCTTGGTTAGCTAGCTGCAAGTTATGCTAGCATTACTTTTAGACTCAGTTATTTCGCTTCATATTGACTAAATGAAGAAAGATGCGGTTATTCCTATCAGCTAAGGTATGTTTGCATGCGCTGATGTTGGTTAACTTTGTTGCACGTAGTTAAGACCAATAAGTCAAGTTATTGAAATGCATTTTGCTATTTAGCTGGCTAGCATGTTAGTGCTAGCTGCTATATAGTGGAGGAATGCTGTACTGCAGTCCAGCTAAACAGGGTACACTGATACAAGTCCTTATTATTTACAGTCTGTGGTAGTATGTCGTGTAGTGTCACATTGAATGGACTTGAGCTTGTACAGTTATTTTCTAACCTTCTGACTCCACAAAGCACTTTTACACACTGATGGTAGAGGCTGCTGAGTAAAGAGTCCGTCAGTATTAACTCATCCATTCATGCACACACGTTAATACTGATGGACTCTATACTCAGCAGCCTCTACCATCAGTGTGTGAAGGCGTAGGTGTGACCTGCGGTGTGAAGGTGCCTAGAGTAGTCAGAAGACAATAAAACACTTTACAAGTCCATGTACCGTTTACCTTTTACAATGACCTCAGCCGGGAGAGCTTTCTTCATTGGCAGTGATTGATCATTCATTGACAGGCCTGACTCTGGAACGAGCCTATCAGCTGTCTGCTCACAGTAACGACTTAATCACAGCAGGCCCTTCACTGTCGCTCACACAGACGCCAGTGTCTCCACAGCTGAAGCATGTCAGTACTATACTGCAGTGCCACACAGAGATGATTTAGAAAGATGCTGTCTGCTCATGTGCAGCTGCATGTAGACAGATGTGTTGTTAGAGGACTTTGTATAAATGGATCTCTGAGGCCCACTGTGGCTGAGTTTGAATATTTAGCTGCAGTTGTTGATCTCGTGGTCTGTCATAGTCACACATGCATGTGAAAAGCAGTTTGACTCAGTAACATACAATCCTGTGAAAAGATTCAGGCCCTAAAGGTGGAAATGGGAAGGTCATGCAGCGTTTCATCGCTGACACCTTGAGGAAATAATACTCTCAGTCCTGACTGCAGGAAGGCGCTCACTATTAAAGATTCTCAAGTACAAAAAAGACAATGATCTGTCTTTGAAGCTTTGGTTATTGTCTGTTTGAATCGAACTCTGTAGCATCAAGCCAACAGGAACCTGAGAGCTTTCATGTTCGGACCAATCAGGCATGAGGCGACAATAACACAAGAGTTGAGACCCACCCAAGGCAGGGCCGCAGATTAACTTCACTCTCAGCTTATTGTTTATTTGGATCCCCATTAGCCACTACCTAAGTAGTGACTACTCTTCCTGGGGTCCACTCATACAAACATGAATTTAAAATCCACACAAAATAAATTATAAAAACAACAAAGTCCAAGACGGAACAGAAAAAGACCAAAATAGAAATAAATGGCAGCACAATAACAGGCAAAGTACTCAATCATCTATGCAATCAATAAATACAGTGTTGGACAAATCTTGTAATTATTTTCCTACTTAAAACACAGCAGAGTAACTAAACAATGACATACAAGACAAACACACATATACACACTATACATATAAATTCTACACTTATTATCAAACATTGATAATTAGCTGCAGCACAATAAATCATGGTTAAAGTCACAGTACTGGTCCCTCTTATTTGTCTTTTTTTTTAAAATGTTTGGTCTGATTCCTCTGCTCCATCCTCTCCCGTCACCTGGCTGTTATTTGTCAGACAGAACTGTTTATCATCCGTGGTTATTTTAGGAACCATGATATATTTGCTCGGTCACATGTCTTGCCGCTGATGCTCTGATACAGGTTTTTTTTTTTTACAACTGTTTGTTCTACTATTGTCCTGACTAAGCTCGGTAAGGCATCATCTAAATGCTCACGATGAGCGTGTAGGGTGCAGCCACAGCACCAAATCTGTCAGTACACAGGAATTACAGCGAGTGTTTCGGTTGATTTCTTGTATCTGTTTTGTAGCTGTTGTGTGGTTTTTCACTCTTGGGTGACTCAAGTTTCATATGAGAAACTAAAGCTGAGCAGAAAGTGGAAAGTTTATGATGTACAGAAAGTCTGACGTTTCGCTTTAAACAAATCAAAATGTCTGAGGTAAATACACATAAAGAATGTTTCTTCTGTATTGTAAACTTGTTCGATGTGTTTGATGTCGTTCTCTTCCGGGGTCCTTCTCTAAACCTCATCCTGTTCTTGTTTCCTCTTCAGGGGTGGGGAAGAGCAGTCTCCTCCTGCGATTTGCAGACAACACATTTTCAGGTGAGTGCTTCTCCCCTCCACTCAGTAGCATCATTGTTGTGGTGGTTGTCGTTTGTTCGTCTTAACCTGATTTTTCTGCTTGTCTGCGTGTTTGCAGGTAGCTACATCACCACAATTGGTGTCGACTTTAAGATCCGAACAGTTGAGATCAACGGGGAGAAGGTGAAGCTACAGATCTGGGATACAGCAGGACAGGAGCGCTTCCGCACAATCACATCCACGTGAGTAGACCCACACACAGGCTTTGTTTGTGATCTCTTTATTTTCTTCACAGCATTAGAAGTTGAAACCCGGAACGGTTCCTTGTGGTCTTCAAATGAGGTTTTATGTAGGAAGCAGTTTGTGGACTTCTTGAATGAGTTGGTGCTGCTCTGTGAAACTGGGTGGAATTCCCCACAGACTAATTACAGGTTTGAGAGCGAGGCCCTTTGGTCACGTACTGCAGGGCTAAATGACGGCGTGTCTTTACCCTGTTGAGCGTGCGTGGTGTGTGTCACACTGCTGTACCTCCATGTACCTCCGGGTTTGGATAACTTTGGGCCCTTGTTTCTGTAAACTATCCTCTATGTGTTATCTCCGTGCTCTGTGGAGATGGATCAGTGTCAGGGAACTGGTCCACCTACCAGTGAAGTCTAGCCTCAGATGGGGGCCTCATGCCCGAAGCTACAATGAAGACTTTTAAAGTTCCAGATCAATGTGAGATACAGATTTCAAAGGCCTGTCCTTCCTGAAGTATGTTTAAATGTTTTACCTGTTATCAGGGATGTTGAGATCACATGCTCGGTTTATAGCTGCCCAGCTTGCTGAAAGATTTTTAGAGGTCAAGTCCTGACTAAAGGTTTGCCCCCTCATGCATGCTGTCTGTTATTGGTAGTTTATGCTCATCTATTCCTGTTTACTAAGTAAAAACACACACACATGCTGGCTCATCACTTCTGAACATTGAGATGACTACATAACATTTCAAAGTAGACAACGATCAGTGACTTAAAGGTCCAGTCAGTGAGATGTGTAGTGAGGTAAATGATAAAGCTATCTTACTATCTGATCAGACATTAATGAAACATGCTATGTTGAAGTGCTGACTTCTCTGACAACAATGCAGCAGCCAGTATGTCCTCCTTCTAACTTTAGATTCTGCTCCTGAATGATCTGGATTTGTTTGGACCAGAGAAGGTAGGAGGTTTTAAGACACACCCCCACACGGCCGTTTTGGACGCCCCTCTGTTTGTCAGATATGAGAGCAGTTATCAGGTCAACAGGTGTTGCAGTGATGGAAGCGGTCAAGAGAAGTGGTTCAGATAGAAGTGATTGTACCCGACCTAAAAAGCCTCTGCATGTTTCTAATAAGCTCCACGAGCAGAAACGTGCTCAAACTAGGATCAATATTGGAGATGCTTTTGAAAAATGGAGAGAGGTTAGAACACAGAAAGGTTTACAGACCCATGCAGAGCTGGATAAACACTGAAGCTTCAGAGTCCACCACATGGTGACCTGTGAGAGCATCCACTCTAGAGAGGGGGGGGGGAGAGACAGTCTCTCTACAATGTTTAGAATTTAGACTGCAGTACCTAGTTTAAACACTAGTGGTCAGAGTTACATACTGCTCCTTTAGAAACATTGTCCAGCACATTGAAGTTCTGTCTTTTATTGATTGATTGTCATCCTTTATGTGTTATGTTTGGATCGAGATTGCATGATGTATAAATGGAGCTCGTTTGTTTCACTAATGAGATTTTTCACTTATGGAGACATTCACTGAATAAAAATGGTTCATATCTTTGATTCCATCCAATGGAGGAATGAAGGAAATAAAACTGACTGTGAGTCACTGTATTTTGACGCAGGGCCGTTTGAATTTGAGCGTTTTAGAGCGTGCTTTAATGAACGTGGGGATAAGATTGTTTATTGCAGTTATTCTGGCATGGATAATCGTGGTATGAATAGTCCCATCATGCCTATTGGGGACACGTTCAATCAACACCAAATCCCCACATTGTCATGGGAGGCAGAAACACTGACACAGATACACACAGGACGCCTGACAAAAGGTTCTTTGTGTCTGTTTGGCAAGTGCAAGTACACTGGGGCTGCTCCCTCTCTGGGGCAGAGTCTGAAAGTTTGCTGCAGATTTACAGTCCTGTAGCCTCGCTTTGATTCAGGTGTATGTGTGTGTCGAGATCTACCTCTCCCTGTTGGACATCAACACCAGAAGTAGGAAGAGCCACAAAACTATGTAAAAAAGTGATGAAATGTCGCTCTAGAGGTGGATTATGTTGAGCTGTTCGCTTTGTTAAAGTGGGCTGTAGGTGATGAGGACAGCTGGCTTTTTCTTCACATGATGAACTAGGATTTCATTATTGAACTAAAAGAACCTCTTTTCAGCCATGGAACACAAAGTTACAGACGGAGAGACAAAGTAGGATTTACAAAAATCACTGAAATTTGGATTTAAAGAAAACTTTCTATGAGTTAGTAGTTCAAGTCGAGCTAAAACATGACATCCTTTACAATCTGCTGCCAGGTCTTTCATTGTACATTTAAAAACCTTTAGGGACTCCAGCTCCGTGAGCTTTGAGTCGTTCTGCAACAGATTCCAGGCTGAGGGTGCAAAACACCCAGAAGACCTGTTCCTACTTTCTGTCCGAGCGTTTGGGACAGAGAGCATGAAGAGGTCCTGATGAATACTGTCTGGTACTTTCCTGCCTGATAGAAACACAGAGGTAGTGTGGGAGCAGACCAAGAACTGCCTTATATATATATAAGTGTAGCAGCCTGCAGGGTCGCCAGAGCACGCCATCCTACCTGATAGTACAACTCACCATGAGTCAGAGCTTTGAGTTTGTTAGGCTGCATACACGGAGACACAGAGCAGAGGCGTGCATGTACAGAACATCACCAGAGTCCATCACGGGTTCAAAAAAGTTTCAGATGTTCTTCTCAACTCTTCATAAAAAGGCCTTTAATCCTCCCCTCCTCCCAAGGATCGACCACACTTCATCACTGTTTGGTGTGTCATCTCTTTATGTTATATGTAAGTCAAAGCTAACAGTAACTTATAAACATGTGACCTAAAGGCTCTTTTCACAGAGAGCAGGTCCGTCACTGTGTGCCAAACAGTCTCCTTTATCCAATGAGACGGCCTCCACCATAGCCTCAATGCAGAGGGATCGGTGCTGATCACTGGAGAAGTGCTAGAATAGCTTTTCTACTTCCCAACAACACTCACTTTGACTAAAAGACAAACTGGAGTGGGAAACTGGTTTTTCAGGTTTTGAGAGGTCCATGCTCTGACAATGGGAGGGAGTCTTTCAGAGATCATAGATATCACACAAACCTCGACAGCGGCAGTTTTGACCATGCAAATAATACTCTGACCAAAGAATGGAGAGCACATACCTCATGGTCCTGAACTCTCCCTGCAGGAGCTGCATGTGACAACGTTTACTTCACAAACAGTTTATCTGTGTGTTAGTGAGACGTCATCCTGCAGGCCCCTTAAGCTTGAAGTCAGAGCTGAGGTTTGAACACTGCTCGTAAAGACGTCCAGAGCTTTCTGAGGGAGGCGTGTTGATGATGTCACAGAAGACAGCCAATAGAGTGCCGGCTGTTTATTTATCTCCTTTCAGATACACTCTTTCATGAACATTGCAGACACACCAAATCCATATTTCTCTCTAAAACATGAACCCTGAGTTTGACTCTGTGTCTGTACCTGTGCTTGTCCAGGTACTACAGAGGAACACATGGGGTCATAGTGGTGTACGACGTCACGAGCGCAGAGTCCTTTGTCAATGTGAAACGATGGCTACATGAAATCAACCAGAACTGTGACGACGTGTGCCGAATATTAGGTGAGTGCACCTGTCACCCAGGACTCCTTTAGATTAAAAGAAAACAAGATTCCAGCTTCCTGTCCCCTTACCTCTCATCCATTTCCTGTTTTCAGTGGGAAACAAAAATGACGACCCGAACTCCAAGGTGGTGGAGACGACTGACGCGCAGAAGTTTGCAGAGCAGATGGGGATCAACCTGTTTGAGACGAGTGCAAAAGAGAACATCAACGTTGAAGAGGTAACTCGTTGTCCCTGTGTGTCTGACTCATTGTTCATGTGTTTGTGTGGAGCAGCATGTCCGGTATGCAGCAGCTCAGCTGAAGTCCTGAATTAAGAAGCATGCTCGAATAATCTGTGAGACCTGCTCATCGGTCAGCTGTCTCACCCTGTCTCACCCTGTCTCACCCTGTCTCACCCTGTCTCAGTCTGTCTCACCCTGTCTCAGTCTGTCTCACTCTGTCTCACCCTGTCTCACCCTGTCTCACCCTGTCTCAGTCTGTCTCACCCTGTCTCACTCTGTCTCACTCTGTCTCACCCTGTCTCACCCTGTCTCACCCTGTCTCAGTCTGTCTCACCCTGTCTCACCCTGTCTCAGTCTGTCTCAGTCTGTCTCAGTCTGTCTCACCCTGTCTCACCCTGTCTCACCCTGTCTCAGTCTGTCTCAGTCTGTCTCACCCTGTCTCAGTCTGTCTCACCCTGTCTCAGTCTGTCTCAGTCTGTCTCACCCTGTCTCACCCTGTCTCAGTCTGTCTCAGTCTGTCTCACTCTGTCTCAGTCTGTCTCAGTCTGTCTCACCCTGTCTCACCCTGTCTCAGTCTGTCTCAGTCTGTCTCACCTGTCTCACTCTGTCTCAGTCTGTCTCACCCTGTCTCAGTCTGTCTCAGTCTGTCTCACCCTGTCTCACCCTGTCTCAGTCTGTCTCAGTCTGTCTCACTCTGTCTCAGTCTGTCTCAGTCTGTCTCACCCTGTCTCAGTCTGTCTCACCCTGTCTCACCCTGTCTCACCCTGTCTCAGTCTGTCTCAGTCTGTCTCAGTCTGTCTCAGTCTGTCTCACCCTGTCTCAGTCTGTCTCAGTCTGTCTCACCCTGTCTCACCCTGTCTCACCCTGTCTCAGTCTGTCTCACCCTGTCTCACCCTGTCTCAGTCTGTCTCAGTCTGTCTCACCCTGTCTCACCCTGTCTCACTCTGTCTCAGTCTGTCTCACCCTGTCTCACCCTGTCTCACCCTGTCTCAGTCTGTCTCAGTCTGTCTCACCCTGTCTCAGTCTGTCTCAGTCTGTCTCACCCTGTCTCACCCTGTCTCAGTCTGTCTCACCCTGTCTCACCCTGTCTCACCCTGTCTCACCCTGTCTCACCCTGTCTCACTCTGTCTCAGTCTGTCTCACCCTGTCTCAGTCTGTCTCAGTCTGTCTCACCCTGTCTCACCCTGTCTCACTCTGTCTCACTCTGTCTCACTCTGTCTCACATTCTCATGGCCTTACTCTTCATATGATTTCTCAGTGGATCAGGTACCTTAAAATCTGGTGTATAGGACATCTATCTTTTCATCTAAAAAATTGGCTGCATCCTGTACACCAGTGCGACCAGTATAAAATAATGAGGCATGTACTGTCATCACCGTCAGTGCAAAGAGCCACACAGCTGCACAGAAACTACATGTTGTCGATTTCCCTGAACACAAATCATCACGCAGGAAGACGCTTTTAACATTTTTTCTCCTCCAAATCCGACTGCGACTTATATTCTGGATTTTACAGTAATTGTGTATTTTAATAGTTTTCTAAATTTTACAGACCAATTTGTCCAATTTATAAAAGTTCATAAGCCCATCTTCAGATCTTCAAACTGGAAACAGAGTTTTATTTGTCAGAAGCAAACTTCCTCCAAAGCTCACACACACATGTTGAATCCCGGGTCTCTTCTCATGTTGAGGCTTCTTCACTACTTTCCCTCGTTTTCTATGCTAAGCTAAGCTAAATGGCTGGTGGCTGTAGAGTCAAATAGACTGACAATGAATGCAGTATCAGTCCCCTCGTCTGTTCAGGTTGAATGATAGCTGATTTGACATCTCAAACTGTTTTTATTTTGACCTTTGAGGAAGTCAAAGAAAAACAATGTGCATCTTTTTTTTTAGAAGTTGTGACTGATTGTTTGTGTTTATTCTGTCCTCACCCTGCAGATGTTCAACTGCATCACAGAGCTAGTGCTAAGAGCCAAGAAGGAGGTGCTGGCCAAGCAGCAGCAGCAGCAACAAAACGACGTGGTCAAACTCACCCGGAACAGTAAACGGAAGAAGAAGTGCTGCTAGCGGCCTCCAAGCCCCCCCCCCCCCCCACCAAAGGCCCGCGGCGTATATTCTTGACACAAGCATACACACAAGATGGGACTCAGAGCTTCTAAATTAAAGAGCAGATAAAGATTTAATAAATATACAGAGAAAGATAAAAAAAAAAAAAAAATACAAAACGTCCCCTTTGGACAAAGTCATCATGAAGACTTGGAACGTGTACAGATTTATTTGACACCAGATCGACTTTTATTTGGGATTCAGCAGACGACCACGATTGACCTGAAGTCCTTCACGGATCTGCAAGCTGACAACCATCCGCCATATTGGTCCAATTATTCTCCATAAACGCCCCACATTCTTCATGAGAGTCTCCCCCCTCTGCACACGGGACAGCTGAGTGCGAGGAAGAGGAAGGAGGACTCACCGTATCCGGACTTCTTTGTTGATCTCTCGTTTTTGTTTTGGACAGGCGTGGTGGCCGCTGTGCTTTGCAGCGAGACGTTTGTTTTGAGACGGTTGTCTGAGGTTTCATCACCATCAGACTCCTGTTTTCTTCCAGCCGACACGGAGACATCCTGAACTACTAGTTTGTGTTTCATTTGACTTCAAGGGGAAAAATCAAAGATGATGATTGGTAGACGACCTTCAGCAGCGGATGCAATGGACCGACCTGATCACCTCTGTTTTGTTTTCTTCTTTTGTCAATATTTTGCCAAGCTTTGCACCTCTTCCTTTCTAACATCCAGTAGTGTTGAGCCACATTAATCCATCATCTGTTTCTCCTTTCTGACTTTTTTTATGTTTAAAGTGCAGCAGAGCAGTCGACCCGCTCTGTTCACTGCAGTCTTACTGTGTTCACACTTAGCTTTTAAACCTTTTCCTCCTATTCCTTTTTTTTTTTAATGACACTGCCAACATCATAAAGAATATATGAAGAGCTCAGTGGAGGATCTCATTGGACTTGTTGCCATAGTGGCCCCTGGTTTGCCCAGCGGCAGGAAGAATCAGGATCTGATGGGACAATGTTGAGTCCTCAGGAAGCGCTCAGGGCTGCCCTCCTTCTCCTCTCCCTAATCCTTTGTTTTTCTGCAGACTCTTTCTTTCTACCCCGTTAACGCTCCCAGCATTCCAGCACCTCTCATGGGGGATGGACTCACCTCTCATGGGGGATGGACTCACCTCTCATGGGGGATGGACTCACCTGTCATGGGGGATGGACTCACCTCTCATGGGGGTTGGACTCACCTGTCACGTCGACGGTCTATCAAGGGGCTCATGGACTCTCACTGTAACCCGTAGCAGACTGGAACCTGCCCTTCCTTTAGAGCATGTAACATGTTGTGAAGGGGTTTGTAGGAGGACTGTATGTTCTCAGCTTGCAGAATATTTGTAACAGTTGACTAATGTCAAAGTCTGATGTCATGTTATCTGTTGCTTTTCTGTATAAACCCCCCCCCCCCCCCCCCCCCCCACTTCCTGGCTTACATGTAAACTAGAGAGTTACCTGACCGTGTTTTTGGCATCCATGATGAGAGTGTGAAAGACGGTGGGACGGGTAATTTAAGACCAAATGGGGGGTGAAGTAAATCCCTAGATTCCAATGTTCAGGCTGGAGCTCCATTGTCTCTCCATGTGACCGTTACCAAGACAACGTACTGTGTCCTTTACCGACGACTATCGTTGTGTTTAAATGGAGAGAGCTGCACGTGTTGCTAACGTTTCTTTTCCACTTTCTGGACTCCCTGATGGAAACGTTCACACATCCTGATTAGTTTTCATTACGTGTATGTACATAAATATATTTGTGTGTTTATATTCAATATCCAAACATACACACATAATTAGCACACCGAACTGTGCATGTGTTGGACATGCCTGTGTGCTGTGTTTGAACACACACCTGTCAGCTGTGGTTGCTGTACACTGGAGAAAAAGAGATGTACTATTCCTTTTTTCCCGACATGAATTAAATCAGTAATCGACATTTTAAAGGAATAAATCTTTGACACATACTGACCTCTCTCGTGTCAGTGCTTTGAGGCTCGGTCTTAACTTTGTTTTAAACCTGTGTCTTTGATTTCTGTGAATAAACTTGTATGGGAGGAAGTGTGCACCGTTCTTTGGAGAGTGTTCTACTGCTGCTGCGTGTCTTTGACTTCTCAGAGTTAAATAATGTTCAGTAAGCCGAGTTAAAATCAAAGTAATGAACCACGACTGTGTGGTATTCTTTCTTGTTAAGTCGATAGAAACAGGAAGGAGAAAGCTTTAAATGGTCTTGAGCTTGTGTATTTCTTTTCCAGTCTTTTGACTACTCAAAGCTCACACCTCAAGTCACACCTACACATTCACACACTGATGGTAGAGGCCGCATCACCCACTCTCATCTGACTTTATCCGCTGCCCTGTCCCCTCAAAGGCATGAAAAGCCTTTTTTAATCGATAAACCAAATCATGCATGTTATGTTTTGTGCTAGCTGGTTATGTTAGCATTAAGCTAAGCCTGAAGGCTCACAGGGAAACATGGCTGCTCCGGCTTCTCTCCATCACTGCACATTCAGAAAACAGGACCATAACAATCAGTTGAAGTGACTGTTTGATTATTTTATTATACACTTTAAAAATATGTACAAAAGACTATAAACAGCGGTGTTGAAATGGTGAACACTTTCCACGAACAGGAGGCCGTTATATGGTCATTCTTTCACGCAGTAAGGCAGACAAACGGGGAAATAAGAAGAAGCATGTTCATCACGACTGAATGGAAAACAACATGACACGTCAGAGCACACTGGTACGGTACATATTCACTTTTTTACAGACCACCTGTCGGCTAATATGCGAGTCAGTCGGGCTCAAACAAAACACTTGTTTAAAAAGTGGCCCCGCCCTCCTGTCATCCACGCCGTCTACTGATTGTGATACAGTGCTGACTGCACACCTCACCCTAAGAAGCATCCGAGTCGTTCTTCAGATACTCAAAATGTTAGGAGTTAAGCGTGTTAATAATTTCACTACCAGGAACTTTCTCCCGCTCTCTCTCTGACTCTGTCCTGTCTATAAAATAAAGGCATAAAATAAAATGGATTCATGAAGCCACTTTAAGAAAAGAAGCGGGAGAAGTAATAGTCAAAGTTCCTTTAGTGACAGTTTTTTTTTCAAACACTGAGCAGTCGTGGACGACTTCTCTCCGGGTTCTGTGTCCGCTGATCCCCCGGAGACTTCTGAGCGACTGTAGAGACAGAGATGAGCGCACTGGCCTTGATTAGCGCCGCAGTGAAGTGTTTTGATTTATGATGTCAGGATGTTTGGAAAACATCTTAGTCCTGCTTTTTTTTTTTTTTTTTTTTTTTTAAACCATTAAGGCTGAAATCTTTACACAGGCCGCAGTGTGTCAGGAGAGGGATCAGAGCGAGCGTCCCTCGGAGGCTGAGGTCACTGCATGCCAAACCACTGTTCCTGATCGGCCCACTGCGCCGCTTCACTGTCGCTGCCCTCCAAGTCTCCGTCCTCTCCACTGCCCTCCATGTCATCACCGTCCAGCTCCACGGTGGCATCCGTGGGACTTTCTTCCTTCTCCATCTTCTGCATGCCTTCTAAAGACTTCTGGTCATTTGGATCCAGGCTTCAGGGAGAGAACGAGAAAACATCGATTTTAAATCCTCATTCTCCTTACAGGTACACAATCTCAAAGTTTAAGAGTGAAAAACAGTCTCACCTTAGCGCTATACTGTACTGATCCATGGCTTCTTGGTAATCATTGACGGCCACCAAGAAATCTCCCAGCATCCTGTGCAGGACACAGTCACTCTGATTGGCCAGGGCGTTCCGGAGGAGAGCGATCCCTTCTTCATATTTCTGCTCCCGACCTTTACGAGACAACAGAAACATTTTCATTAGCAGCTGCTTATCCATTTTGAATCTTACTGAATAGACGATGATTGCTGGTTGATGCAGCGGCCGTACGTACTGAGCAGTTCAGCCTTTTTGACCACGGCTTTGGTGTAGTCCGGTCTCTGGGCAAGGGCTTTGTCCAGCAGGGTTTTGGCTTTCTCCTGAGTCACGGGGTCTTCCAGGCACACCGTGGCGAGGATGGTCAGAGTCTGTGCGTTGGCCCCCAGGGTTTTATAAATGTTATTGGCCATCCCCATGGCTTCTCGAATCCCATTGGATGCCAGGTAACAGTCGATGAGTCCTGCAAACGGACAGTTTTAATATTAAGAAGTCGTGCTGGCTGAAGTCATACAGATCACTAAAGACAGAACAAACCTTCATAGCAGTCGAGTCGGCAGGGGGCCAGGCGCATAGCCTCTCTGAAGTGGATGATGGCCTCTTGAACGCGCCCCATGTTTCTCAGTGCTGCCCCCTTAAGGAGGAGGGCCTGCACGCTGTTGCTGTTCAGCTGGATGGCCTTGGCTCCCAGGTAGAGGGCTCGGGAGTAGCGCTTGCTGTAAAAGCTGTGACAACTGAATGACAAAAAAATATTTAAAAGACTACAAAAAAAAGGTGGCAGGCAGGGATATGTGAGAGCAACAATACAGCTATTTATTTTAGCATTGTGTTCAAAGAGACTCACCCAGAGATCACCCAGGGTTCTGCATGCTGGTCTGAAATATTAAACAATCGACCACCAAGGACTTCCACATCCTCCAAGTGTCCTTCACGGGCCATCAGGTAGCCATAGACATCCATTCCTGCAAGTGCATACAACAAATCTAACATTAGAGGCGGGGTTGGTCATTTCCTCCAGATCTACTTTTTCAGATTTTGGTGTAAATTGTCTTTAGGTCCTGACAGAAATTAATAACTCATGTTCTCTGAAAAAGAAACAAAGAAAATCCATCATCTGTATCAGGTGTAAGTCTGTAAAAACTTTGACCAATGTCTGCACGAGGTACCAATCTGATGAACCAATCAGATGCCTCCCTGTCTCCCTGCTCGCTCTCTACCTCTTGTGTGCTCTAGCTCACACTCAAAGAGCCTCACTGATGACTTTAGGAGTTTATACTGTGAGTTTACTTACCGCTGAATGAGACCTGAGACATGGGTTGCAGACGAAGAACTTTCAAAATCATGCTAGTTTCAGAAAATGACCGACCCTGCCTTTAAAGATGGGGCCCGTATACTGTGAAGGGGTTTCTTTCACTAAACCCAGATAGAAGAGATCACACTGCATCCTCCACCAGATAGTTCAGAACTGAAGAAGTCTTTCGGAGGAGGAGAGGTGATCTTCAACCAAGCTTTGAATTTACCCTGACCTGGATGACTGAGAACTAGTGCTGGCCGATATATCGTGAAGTTTGATTCGATATTTAATTAATGCTTGATATGGAAAAGGGAACATAGATTTTATTTTTTAAACTACTTCAAAGTTTTCTTGCAAGATTTCCGCGGCAGCGCTTGTTGCTCGGAGACGAAAGGACGGAGGAGACTCCACTCCTGCCACTGAGTAGCCTAGCTCTTATAAGTGACCAACACGGAGGAGAAAGATGCGAGCGAGGCCAAATTACTCCAAAAAAGGGCACATAACGCAGGGCTTGACATTATAACTGGCCCGGATGAATGATTGACAGAGTCCAGCTGATTGCATGTTCAGCTGGCGACTTCACTGCTGTCCCTCCCGCGAGCGCGCTCGCTACACTCGAGTTGTTCACTCGCACACAGATTTTAGTATAACGGATTTAAAACCATCATATCCCAACAAAAGCCGAGCCAAAATCAGCATTCAAAGAATAGAAATCACCGGAAGAGTCGAGAGTGACGGCATGACAAAAACAGAACGGAAAAAGGTTTGAGCCACAGTGACAGACAGCTGGAGGAGCTGGAACACGTTACAGTTAAAGACTAGATCCTGGTAAAGATAAAAGTTATTCACAAAACATCTTAGCCCTTAAGAGAGCTCCTAAAGTTCTAAAGAACTCCTAAAGATCTAAGGATGAAGAGTTTCTCACAGAGAAGAAAGAAGGAGAGATTCCAGATCTATCACAGCCTCATATTAATATCAGATTAAGTAGACTCTTACAGTTACCAGCATGGTGAATAAACATCAGCACATAAATAGAAGAAAAATACACAATATTTTTTATAATTAGAGCTCAATTGATTAAATACAAGTTGTAATTGACTTTTGCATCAGAATGGTTCAAGAGTAAATTGGTGACTGTTATTTTTCAAATCAAAAGTAATGTTCCTGGGCCGGCGGTTACAAAGGTCAGGCCAGTGATATATTTTTTTATACAGTGGAGTTTCAGTTTTATAGGCTACATTTATAAACTTTAATACGATAAATATCGAGTCATATCGAATATCGACATTAGGCAAAAAAATATTGTGATATCAAATTTAGGCCATATCGCCCAGCACTACTGAGAACCTCCACAGACATCATGCTACCCGCTCACACAAAGCTGGTGATCGACTTTATAAATCAACGCAGAGTTCCTATGAGCCAATATACGGTAACCAATCACAATCATGAGCCAGTCTGCTGTCTTAAAAGCCTCATATTTAACCAACTCTGAGCAAACTATAGTCGATTAAAAGATATAAAGGAAGTTAATCACACAGACTACTACAGACTCGTATCACACAGCAGGGAGAACGACTGTTCAAATCATACTCATTCTATCACTTTCCCATCGTTGGTTCACCTCTTTCTCCTGAGCAATGAATGAATGGATGCGGCTTGTATACATGTTTAGACTTCATATTTCAGCTGCAGACCCAATGGTAACAAACAGAGCAGCATGGAGCCAATAGGTTCATCTGCAGCCTACCTTTGATGAGGTACGGATCGAGCATCTGGGCCTGTTCAAACTTAAGGATGGCGTTCTTGGTGTCACCAGCCCTGAAGTAGACGTCAGCCAGGCTCACCAGGAGGTCCACGTTATCCCGCAACAGAGACTTCTTCTCAAGAGAGCTGAGAGCAGGAGAAGGGGGGGCAGGGTCAGGTATTATAAACTAGTGTGTAAAAAGAACCTGTATGAATACAAACAGACTGCTCAGCTCACCAGATGGTGTTGATGGCTCTCTGGTTGTCCCCTGCATGAATGAAGGCGTACGCTTTGACCCAGACAGAGAGCCAGTCCAGGTTGGGGATACTCTGGATCACATCCATGGTCATGGACGCCACTTCAGCCCCTTTGACTGATAATGACAGAAGACCTGGAGGAAGACGTCCATGAAGAGCTCCTGTGAGCACGTGTTTACATTCACTGAAGAGCATAATAGTGCAGATCGACTCTTGCAGATGAACGTGTCTGAACAGCTTCTACTCGTTTGTGTGACGATACATACCAATGATTGCATCCAGGGCGAGGGGACACTGTCTGAGCACCTCTTTGTAGCTCGTCACTGCAGAACGTTCTTGACCGGCTTTTCTGTACAGGTTAGCTAACATCATGTTGATCTGAAGCATAAAAAAAAATAAAACATGCACTTTGTCAGAATATTCAATTAAAGCTGATTAACTCCAACATGACGACAGCAATGATTGTGTTTGTTTGTATATTATTCAGATTGTTTTATGCAGCAACAGCTTTGTTTACAAGATGCTTACAGATCAGCTCATGGCTCATCTGGTTGCCATGTCACCCCTAACTTCGCTCCCACATCAAATGTTGGAACTGACACCACTTACTTAAAGGTCACATATCTAAAATCCACTTCTCCATGTTTCTCTGACATTAATATGTGTCTTTAGTCTGTCTACAAACCCCCCAGTGATGAGAAAAGTCCATCCTCTCCGTCTTTTACCTGCTCCACTTTTCAGAAAATGTGTGCTCAAACAGGCCATTTGGAGATTTTCCCTTCATGACATCACAAAGGGCAGTAGCCCCTCCCCCAGCTGGGTGACACTCCCACAGCTAGGTGTTTGTTCTGCCCTCTGAGTCTGCCTTCTCACCATAAATAATAGGACATGGAGTGAGAAAGACAGAGACACCCAAGCCCTTCCAGAGAGGGGGCGTGGTCGGACACCGCTCATTTACATATTTAAAGGTACAGACACAGAAACAGCCTGTTCTGAGCAGGGCTGAAATAGAGGGGTTTATAGAGATGATCAAATACAGGATCAGAGTGGATTTAGAACAAGAAACTTCACACACATGTTTTGAGGAGCTCTGAGAATTATTTAAACTGGTTGAAGAGGAGGAGGATATGTGACCTTTAACAGTTTTGAGGTCTGAAGAAAAGGATGGTATTAGAAGCTGTGAGGTTGGCAGCAAACCTTTGGAGTCCTTTGTCTGGATGGAATCCCATCAAGCACTGCTATGGCATCTTTGTCCAGTTTCAAAATGGTGTAGCATTCAGCTATCTTGTATTTGACCTCAATCTCTGATGGCAGGCTCTGAAAAACGACAGAAACATCAATATCAGTTAAACAGCCCACCTGAATATCGGTGCATTACATCAAGGACTTACAGAAGTAACACACTACGGGTAAAGTGTCCACATGTTAGTTTTTGTAAAGTCTTTATCAAATGAGAGGGCGTGCAAAATAACCTTCACTATTTAAAATTCATAGTTTATGAATTTAAGATACATAATGTCCAACACCAGGAACAGTTCAGTGTCTTCATTTAAAACATTTAAAAAGTGACATTTTCAGACATACCTGTGCCTGTATGTTCGATGCAGCTCCGCCAGCAGACGTACGGACTTTAGACGTTTTGCTGAGCACCTTCTTTTGTTGCAATGCCATACTGTATTTGCAGGCAGCATTACGGTATTCTTTATCATGGAAGATGGCGTCAGCATGGTAAACCAACAGCTGGTACTTCTGGGCCGGCGAGAACAGCTCTCTGGAATTCAAAATAATCTGCATAAGAAATAATAAAAATGCACCCCGGAAAACATCTAGATCATTTTTTCAGAGTGCTCCTGAATTCCTCCTGATCAGGTTGTTCACACATGCACCTCACGGAGAGAGCCCGGACGGGGAAAGGTTAAAAAATCAACACAGAAGTAGCGGACGAAGCATCAGAGTCCTCTACACACAACGCTAAAATGAGAATATTTGAATCACAACCTGAACTAAAGAGTGGAGAAGAACATACTTCCCCTAGGTTGGAGTTGTAGCAGCGGAGGTGAAGTTGAACAATGTTTTAGTGGCGTGCAATTAAAAAAATAATAATAATTCTATAAATTAATTATTTTAGACAAAATAATCAACCACCCTATTCTCATTACCTGGCTCGTGGGTAATGGCAAAAGACAAGAGGAGTCAGAAATTTACCCAAGAAGAAGAATCATTTATTTCAAAACGATGGTCATATTTGAGTCCGTAGCGAAAACTAATAAAATAAGGAGATAAGCTGGAGCCCAGCAGCAGAGGTCGTATTTCATAAAGGGGAAACACTGTAGAGAATACATTTAGAAATATCAGCGCATATCTGCAATAATATTATCTGATACCGATAGTCACTGGATATGCTCATATCGGCTGGAAGATTAATCGCTTGTCTGTACTGGGAACCCCCACTGACCCTACCTGTACAGGGTTAAGGACTCTTGGTGGATAGCGGCCCCCCTGTGGGCAACTTTGGGAACCTCTGAGTTACAGTACTGTCATCCTGCTAAGACTACCATTAGGATTGTTTTTTAAATAACTTAGATAATTTGTCTATATTCAGGCTGATTAATTAAATGTATAATAGTAGTTAGACACGGACGGTGATCGATTATATTAGCGAACAACAATAACGGTTGTTTTTATTATACGAGCATCTGCATACGGCTATGTCCTGGAAGCAACATACTCTTTCTCCCTAACTAAACTCTGAATAAAACAATAATATATATCACATTAATACCAACGTGTTATTGAGCGGGGTGTTTATCGGGACTCTTATAAGTTATATTAGAAGAAGTCTTGATTGTTTTACTTGTAAGCTGTTGCGCAGCAGTGATGGAAGCACTCTGCGGGAAATAGACGGAGCCCGGGCTGACAATACTTACGGATTGTTATTACTCATCGTCAGCAACAAACTGCTCAATATCCGGACGTTAGAGTGAAGGCCGGCGGCCGCCATGTCCCGCACATGATCTATTACATTCATGTTGGAGTAATTTGTGGGTTTAGGGTTCAGCTTGAAAGTTTGGGGGCTTGTAAACAGCTAACGTTAGCGCGTCTGATGTATTAAATATGGCGCTGCACGTCCTTCCGCATACTGCTGCCTTCAGGGGCCACTCAGAAGCTCGTTTTTTCTATATCTGCGAAGTCTTCTCAGGAAATCTGCGACTTCGTAATGTTTTTTATTTGCTTACATTGTGTTTAAGAAACGAAAGATTAAATCGTTGTGTGGAAATGAATATAAATGAGATAAGGTCTTCCACGGCTCTTAAAAACACGAGGATATGTTGGCCAACTTATTTTAGATGTTTGAAAACGAAGCTTTGGTTATTTTGTGCAGAAATAACCTATTTCTGATTTAGTTTATTAAAATAACTTTACACAATATCTAATGCACAACTTAACATTTTTTAACAATTTTTGACAGTAACTTTTGATGTTGGAATAATATTTATAAAATGTGCTGCCTTTATTTTAATTTTATATTTGTTTGTGATTTCCCAAATAAATAGCCTAAGTCAGTCTTTAAACATAAGCAGCCAGATAATGAAATCGTCTATTAGGCACATATGTGTAAATTGCCCATGCCTTTATTTTAATTTTATATTTGTTTGTGATTACTGTGTTAGTTTGTGTCTTCTTTCCCCTGTTACACAAAGTCTTTTATCAGCTGGCTGAGGATCTGATGCCCGAAAATTGAAAATTACTCCAAAAAGATGTGACACATGTAATCAAACGGTTTTCATGCAATCATATCATACTCTACCACAGCATCAGAGATATTTTAATGTCTAGATCATTCATGCCTGAAGTATGTCATTATGTGTGAGACAAAATAAGAAAAAAACAAGATATTATTTTATTAAACATAATGCTAGTGACCAGGACAAAACACTGAAAGGTAAGTTTATTTCTATAGCACATTTCAGGCAATAAAATCATTGTCATTTCATTTAAAGAGACACACACACACCAAAACGGAGCGTTCTGAGAGAGCTGGTTTATACAGGGTCACAAACCTCCTCTGGTGCTTGATTCATGTTATATTTTGACCAAAGCACAGCACAGATGTTTCATTTAGACCACAGGGGACTGTTTGAAAAGCTGGAGGAGGGGGATAATATGTCCCCTTTAATATACTAATGGACACTTTCCATAGCAGCCTTCCCCTTGTGGGATCATTAAAGTATATCAGGGTGTGAATGTGTGTGAATGTAACTTTATGAGCCTCCATCAGGGTCATAAACAAACACATTGCAAGCATGCACCCTTTCAAAAATGATGCCTTCAATGTGTTTCTTTATGACCCTGATGGAGGCTGATAAAGTTCATCTTTATCCTACAAATGTTGCTGAAGCTATTTAAGATGGACATTAATCAAGGCCAGATTTTGTTTAAATTAATCTTATTACAATCACAAAAAATACCATGAAGAAAACAATCAGGTTCGGTTCTGGAACAAAATGACTTAGGGTGCATCTGAGATTAAAGGGGGTGACTCTACAGTGACCGGCAACAGCATTGGAAAAATAAGTAGGTGTTTTGGGTCCTGCATGTGGTCCCCGTTGACCATCAGATCATGGACCTAATAAACACGACCTGAGTCACCTTTGTCATTTCAAAGCCTTGATTAAAAAAAAAATATATTTTTGTTGTGTCCATTCAATTAGGCGTGCAGAAATGTAATATGAGGGCGCAATAAATCATGTTGTACCCTCGTTGAACCGGGCCTGAGTACCATCATCTAAGTGGTCTGGGATTCGCAAGGACACTAAAGGACTGGTGTCTCAGGTGGATGGATTGTGATGTCCCATATGGATGCAAGACCTCCTGTCGAATATAGCCTCCAGTGATGCATAACAATGAAGGTGCTTTGGTGGGCTGATATCTCAAAACAAATCGTCGCCCTGCTTCAACACAAACAAAAAACCGTCGACGCGGACGCGCATGCGCACAGTGAAATCCAGCAGCTGAACCTTGTGTCAAAACAGAGAGGGGGCATCAGCGGCTACAGCTCGCACAGACTTCAGCTCTATTTACTGGAAGTATTCCTCGACACCGAGTGTTTTTCAGAAACGTCTGCGTACCATGACCGAACAATCAGCATTACTTCTTCGAAAACAACTGGCAGGTAACAAACCACCCAGAATTAAGTGAACAACCGGCTGCCTATACTGCGGCTAGCGTTAGCATATTTTAGCATCGCAGAGCTAATGTTTACGCCATAGACATGAGCTCTAAATGCTAACCAGGCAGCATTAAATGTCCCTGCATCGCTGGTGTGTAATATTTGGATACGCTGCCTTGCTAAGAGAGTAAAGATAAGCAAAATATGTGAAGAATAAAGTGGGTAAAACACTGAATCCCAGCGCTAGCATATGCTAACTGTTAGCAGGTTGGACATTATTTAGCAGACGGAACAAAGGAATAATCAATCCAAGGACTCATCTGCTCTGATGATCACTGTAGCTCTGCTACATGTGTAGACACTGTACGCCTCTAGTGAACTTGTGTTTAAGAAGAAGAGGAAGCTTGTTAACAGTGTGGAGCTCGACACCTCCTTTTAGAAGACAATCTCATGTTTGTCACTGTAACGCTGCTTACACTCAGAGGTGTTATGCAGAGAATTGCATACATGTACACCTCGTAGCACAATGCAAAATATGGCAGACACAATTTCTACACTTGTGGATTTTCAGCCACATTTTAAAATGTTATTGTGCATTTACCCTCACATTTCTTCTGCAGACACTTCAGAGTGAAGCCAGTGGCGATTCTAGAGTATGTTGGGGCTCCAGGCAAAAAAAATAAAAAATTTAGAGGGCCACTCCAACCATCGCTCATTTCCATTATGTCTACCTGTTTCCGGCCGCTTACCCCTCATCCTCTCTTTCTTTTTTCTCTCCCAGACGGATAATTCCTCTTCATTTTCCTTTGGTGACTATTATCATTTTGTGGAGAATGCATGCCACGCTTAGCAGGGCAATGAGAGGTAGTGTTGTTATATGGGGCCCCCTTAAGGAGGGGTCCTCCTGTCATTGCAAAATTTGCACATTTTGAGCCACTGCTGTCATTTAAATTCTGTCAGCCCTTGGGGGCCCCCTACTGGTCTGGGGCCCCAAGCAGTTGCCTGCCCTACCTGCTGACGTTTGCAGGCAACAGCGCCTCTGAGTGAAACACTGTTTGCAGCTCATATTTATGCAGGCTAATGAAAATGTGTTTTCTGTCAAGACTACACAACAATAAAGACACTTAACTTTATTAAGTATTAACTTTACATACTTTGTCATCACAGATCTTCAATAAGACATAATATTAATACTGTTTTCAAACACTTCCGTGAAGTGCATTGCATTCATGTTCATTCATGGGATACATTTCTCAGCATAACACCTGTTTAAAAGAAGAGTACACTCATCTTGCTGTTAAAGCCCGAAGACATGCACACCTAAATATTCTTCTTCTGGCTTTCCGATCTGAGAGGTTTTTGTGACGGCAATGATCAACAAGCAGAGCCCAATAAAAACATGATTACCGAGGACATTAAAATTCATGAACTTCAGAATGAAAAGCGGGTAAAAGTGTTTATTATAAAGTTGAATCTCTCTATTGATTGATTAGTTTTAACATGTGGAAGGTTGTCTCTGGAAAAATAAGACGTGTTATCTTTCTGGATGGGACAGATCGGATCTAATATCGGTATCGGGTCTGATATTGACGTAATTTACATATCGGATAATGGACTTACAGCGCCGGTCGACGTCACACATCAAGAAAGATGGTTTATCGCTTTAAACATTCTCAGCTCGCACAGTATCACTGAATTGTAAGGCCCCGTGTCCACCGTGCACGTTTGTTTATCGTTTGTTAAAAATGAGCAGAGAGCGTATGCACCAGAAAGTGACCACCTGGAGAAAAAGTGCCGCACCCAGCATCTTTTTTTTCAGAGCGCTTCGCCTTTTTTTGTACGGTCACTCTGAGCACTCAAAAAATAAAATCTTTCAACATTTCAGAAAGGCGCTGTTGACATCACCAGCACTTTTTTCCCTAATGTTTAATGTTCCCCGTAGTTTGCCACCTACAGATCGTGTCTGGTACCCACATCATCTTAGCTCCGTTAGAGGTTAGGGTGCGTCCCATGGATGGAGGCTATAAACTTAAAAAAAAAAAATTGATCATCCTTATTCTGTTCTTTGCAAGAGATTTGTCATTGTTACAAAAGCAACTTTGAACAGCCCTGTTCAGACCGCTGTCTCAAACTGTGATAGTTCCACCCCTGTGACATTTCGCATTCAATGAGGCGTAATAGGGGGACAAAGTTATCCCCCCTCTGTACCATCTTCAGAGGTAGTAACTAGAGCCCGACCGATTAATCGGCCAGCCAATAATATCGGCCCATGTTATCTTAACATAGTGACTATCGGTATCGGCTAATTTTATACCAGATATGCGTCGATATTACTCGATTTATTCACAAGTCAAACAGCATTTCATTTGAGTTTAATTTTATTAAACTAGAAGTTCACCAGCAGAGGGCGCTATACCGATTACAACAAGCTGATGAATGTACATGCTCAGTTACTTTCCAGTTGAGTGATCATCTTGTCTTCATTATAAATATTTTCCACAAGTGTTTGATAACTGAGAGAACTGTTTTATCATTATCGTATGTATTCTCTTCCTAATACCGATATGGGCCCAGAAACATCAGTTGAGCCCTATAAGTAAGAGAGGTGAGGCAGCTTCAGCAGAGGGAGCGCAGCGACGTGTGTGCCCGACTGACTGAAGTGTTTGTGGAGCTCCTGCTGTGCCGTGCTTCCACAACGTTGAAATATAATGTGGATTCACAGAATGGGACATTAATATTACTGCGTCACAGAATCAATATGAATTTTACAAAGCGAGATGACGCATGAGCTTACGCTGGCCACAGACTACATAATTTTCACATTTAAACCGATTTTAAAAACACGGGAGGCCACAGACGTGGTCAGTTTTAACAGATTTTTAGTATTGTAATCTTCTGAACGCACACACTATAGACCTCGTGTCTCCTGATGGAGTTGATGTTTCGGTGAAGCAAAAGGTTACTGCCACTTCCAGACCAGGAGACCACACACACCGTCTGTTTGTAGTAACGATATAACAGACACGAGATCTCACTGAAACTCGCGTCATCAAACGTGATTTCAGAAGAAAGACAAAGATGGAGGCCGATCGATGTCAGCTGGCTGTCCTGCTGTGGGTTCTGTTTTTTTTGCTGCAAAAGGAGAAAAACAATGGGGATTCAGTCCTGGCTTTTAGATGAGGGATTAAGTGCGGCTTTATTTAATTTTCAGCGTGAGCTGAGTGTGTGTTGTCAGTGTAAGCAACATCCGGTTGGTGACACTGGTGGCTGCTGCCGGTACTCAGTGGCAGAACTACCTGGAATCGATCGGGGAGGCTTCGACTCGATCGTGAGCCGTAAAATAATGACACCACACACTTGAAGATAAAATGGATATGTCCAGCAGCCCTCTACCCCCAACTCAGGACCGCTCTCTGTGGGCAGCCCCCCAATCACTCTGACATCTATATGTCAGAGTGATTCAATATTGGTCAATATTGTGAAATAGCTGTCATCTTGTCATTGTCCACTCAGTTGTCTTTAACTCTCTCTTCTGTCCGTCTCTCCAGAGCTCAACAAAAACCCCGTGGAGGGCTTTTCAGCTGGTCTGATAGACGATGATGACATTTATAAATGGGAAGTCGTGATCATCGGTCCTCAAGATACCCTTTTGTAAGTGAGATCTTTCAAACACACGTGTTGATTGAGAGTTTCATGTACATAATTATTAAACGACTCCTCCTTTGTTTGTGTTTTAGTGAAGGAGGGTTCTTCAAGGCGTACCTGACCTTTCCGTATGATTATCCTCTACGACCTCCAAAGATGAAGTTCATCACAGAGATCTGGCACCCAAACGGTAAACACACATATTACACGTCTGGTGATTGAACAGAAACGTCAGCGAGGCTTTGAGGTTTGTTGCACGCTGGCTGCTGCTAAACCGATGCTTCCTGTCTCCACAGTGGCAAAGAACGGAGACGTTTGCATCTCAATTCTGCACGAGCCAGGCGAGGATAAGTTTGGTTATGAGAAGCCTGAGGAGCGCTGGCTTCCGATCCACACGGTAGAGACAATCATGATTAGCGTTATCTCCATGCTAGCAGACCCCAACAGCGACTCGCCAGCTAACGTTGACGCCGCGGTGAGTTCCCCTCCGCTTTCGTTTCCTCTAACCAAACAGCTGACGGGAACGGAGATTTAGAAAATGTTTTGTTTTTTTTGTTGCTCCTGCAGAAAGAGTGGAGGGAGGACCCAAACGGCGAGTTCAAGAGGAAGGTGGCGCGCTGTGTAAGAAAAAGTCAAGAAATGGCATTTGATTAGGAGTCATCAGCGCGTTCCAGGGTGAGTATGTTGAACTCTTCTGCCAGGTGAGCGCCGCTCGTCAAACTGTACGCACACAAGTAATCGTGTTTTTATATTATTTTGCAGTTAAAGTCGATGCCTTCAGAGGGAAGATTTCAACAAAAGGCTTTTGCACCCCTTGTTTTGCCAGTCAAAGGAAATGGTTGGCGTCAACTTCAACCACGTTTCTGTGAACGGTCGTTTTATTTTTCTTCTTTCTTTCTTTCTCCGCAAGATGAGCCAATTTGAGAACCCTACCAGCGAAATTGAACCTGTTTCCTACCTGGAATTGTATATTTAATGTTATTTATTTTGAAAAATTAATGATGTAAGATATGTCACTACTGTAAATTAACTTGCTTTTTTATCTGCTGCTGAACAGTTTCTACTTTATACCAGGTTTCTTATGCAACTTAGTGGTCAAGATTGTGTCAAAGGAAACGTTAAAACCCATTAGGTCATCACCTCCCGACGTGACACGCACCGCCAGATTAATGTTTAAGGTCGCGTCAGATGATTTCAGCTCCGTTATAGAATCACTGTCACCTTGATGTAGGCCTCACCTCCTCACGGGCTGTTGGTGTTGTCGAGGACGCGGTCGAGAACCTTCAGAGGGACTCACCCCCAATTTCCACATACTCGCGCGTCAGTCCCGCTCACTGCCTCTCTAGTCGATGATCGTGTTTCCACAGCGAGTGTTCAACCAGCGCCACTACACTCAACTCCATTTCAAATACGCTGTCAGTCTATTTTCGATGGAGCTCGCTGCAGGCACGCGTCAAGCTGGACAGAATCGAGCGACCTGGACAGGAAGTCAGACAAAGAAATGCACAGAGCGAGTGTCCGCTGAATTTCAAAATAATATATTAAAAATAATAAAATCCTGATTGTATTTTCCATGATTTTATTGACATTAAACAGGCGCCAAACGAATCATCCTCGTGAAGACAAAGCAACATTGTCTCCTGTCATGTGTGTACAGCTGCTCATGGCTGAAACAGACCCAGATGAGGCAGGGCACACGCCGTCCCACGGAGCAAAACCGTGGCGCTGACGGACCTTGACGTGCACAGAGAATGTGGAAATTGGGGGTTACTCTGTCGACCTTTCCATACAGTCTTTATTTTTTGAGAAAGGCCTCCTGTTAGCATGTGAGTTATGCTGGTGTATGTATAAAACCATAACTCTCAAACCTGCATGACCCCCCCTCAGCAGCTCCGTCATATATCGTTTCCTCGCTGTAGATGTAAATGGAATGGCTTACACGGTGACTTGAGAGTTATCATTTTTGCGTCTCAATCGACTCACACAAGCATAGCTGAAAGGTGACAGGAGGCTTTTAGCCGACGTCTCAGGAGCACACTTCATCGGGTGTTACATTAGCAACCTCCTGACCCCGCCCCCTTAACGCCTGGTCAGTGAAGGTCTCCGTTCATTACTCCGTCTCATGTCTTTTCACACGGCCATTAAAAATCACAGACATCCAAATAGAAGCCGCAGCTGTGCATCCGTTACCTGACATCGGAGCGTACCTCAAGGTGGAAGGACGACGAAGAGGATTGTGGTCGTTTGAGTAGAATCAGGCTCGTCATTCATACCTTGTTGTTGCACATCTGACTTAAATAAGGGCGTTTACGTCTAATTCACTCGTGGGTTCAAAGTAACACTCTTGAGTTCTGATTGGTGCATACTTAGAGTATATCGATCCCTATCACTGGACATGGGTTTTTAATGTTTGATCAACTTAAATCGCCGCTCTGTAAAAATCAAACTTAGCGTTCTGACAGCATCGGACACATCCTGCGTTCAGGTTTTATTTTGAAAAACAGTCTCATGTGGGCGGAGTCTGTGGAAACGTCACGTTAATCGACTGTCGCTGAATATAAAGCCATGATAATGACGTCGACCTCTGAATAATGTTACACAAAGACTTTGAAAAATAAACTAGCTCACCATGTTTGGCGCATGCAATCAGGTTTGACGGGGTTGGGTACGTTACAAAATGAGAATAAGTCAGAACGTTGTGGGGGAATGTGACTGTAGACTCGATGATCACATAACTGCTGTCAACATTACCTTTTTAAGTCAGACTTTTCTAACCTACCATGACCTCCTCTGACCGGTGTTCACTGTATTTGCACAGATTTGGTGCGTTTGAAAATGTCTTTAAGCAATACGCCCTGACAATGGTGTGTCCAGGTAACCCACCCTAACGCCATTTTTTTTTTGTTTGTTTGTTTGTTTTTTTGTTCATTTTGTGTCGATGCAATGTATATTGGACATGATGCTCAATAAAGTGTGTAAACAGAGCGGCCTGTTCTTCTGAATGTGTTTTACATTTTAGATTTAGAGTGTTGTAGTCAAGACCACACTAACCGAGACCAGGACGTACACGAGACCAGGGTGCTCTGAGACCAAGACAAGATCAAGACATTTAGAGATTAAGATCAAGTCAAGACATAGCCAAGACATTTAAGGATTGAGACCGAGATATTTAGGGATCAAGGCCGAGTCAAGACCAAGGCATTTAGGGATCAAGGCAAGACCAAGACATTTAGGGATCAAGGCAAGACCAAGACATTTAGGGATCGAGACCAAATCAAGACCAAGACATTTAGGGATCGAGACCAAGTCAAGACCAAGACATTTAGGGATCAAGGCCGAGTCAAGACCAAGACATTTAGGGATCAAGGCCGAGTCAAGACCAAGACATTTAGGGATCAAGGCCGAGTCAAGACCAAGACATTTAGGGGGCGGCAGTAGCTCAGGACTTGGGTTGGGAACCGGAGGGTCACCGGTTCAAGTCCCAGTGCGGACCAAATATAGAAGTTGGTCTGGTAGCTGGAGAGGTGCCAGATCACCTCCTGAGTACTGCCCTTGAGCAAGGCACCAAACCCCCTCCCCACCATCAGCTCAGGAGCACCCGCTGTGGGCCGCTCTGTCATTCTGTCTTCTCTCCATTAGTGCATGTCCATAGGATCCTGTTTCTGCATGTGTGTGTATATTTCAGCCTATGTGTGTGTTCATGACTTACAGAGTGTAAAAACTGAAATTTCAATAAAAGTAAATCTTAATCTTTAGGGATCGAGACCGAACTACAAATGAACTGATGTCTTGATGGTCTTGATTTTAAATCCAGAGTTCGCGCAGTCTGAGACAAGACTGAGTAGAAATGCTTTAGATTCCAAGACGAGTCTTTGAGTCTACCACAACACTAGGGAACACCTCTGGGTTCAAGGTTATTCGACCTCTGCTCTGTAATTGGATGCTGGGGACGGCATCAGGTTTCAGAGCCAGCTCCATGTCCCACTGAGGGGTCATGATGATGCAACATGTACTCAGCTGATTAAGATGCGAGCAGTCTTTCCGGTACATGATCATAACTAACCATGCAAAAGCGTGTCACGTTTGTCGAGCAGCTGGAAATGGAAAACGTGTTAACAAAAGGCCGTGGTCACGTGTCGACGAGGTAAGATGGCAGTGTGAGTTTAAACTGTAAATGCAGACGGTGGATTCTTTCCTGTTCAAACTGAGATTTTTCTTTTAAAGGTCTATGGACCCCGAGAGAGGAGGTGAGTCTAGTCATCCTTCAGACTCTCACCATATGTTATTAAATGGTTGTTTTCTGTCACCATGTCATGGACAATACATTTGTATGAATCTTGAGTTTGAAAGATAAATAAATATCGGGGTATGATATTAAGTACTTATTTTTTAAATATTTATTTTGGAGCTTTTTATGCCTTTATTTTAGAGACAGGACGGTGGATAGTCTGAAACTGTAGAGAGAGAGAGAGAGAGAAAGGGAGAGAAAGAGGGGGGGGGAGAGAGAGAGAGAGAGGAATGACATGCAGAAAAGGAGCCAAAGGTCGGATTTGAACCCAAGCAGCCCCCTCTTGAGGACTATAGCCTCTGTACATAGGGTGCGCTCACTAACTGTTATACTGACTGGGAATTGAACCCCCCACTCTCTCTGGGCATTTCCTCTCTATTCAGCTGTACTATCCAATAACTCCAAGAGGTCCTAAAACAACTTTTAAAAAAGCTTTCTTCTAGGACATTTATTAAAGACCAAAACAATTAAAGTCAGGGTTGGTCATTTCCTCCAGATCCACTTTTTCAGATTTTGGTGTAAATTGTCTTTAGGTCCTGACAGAAATTAATAACTCATGTTCTCTGAAAAAGGAACAAAGAAAATCCATCATCTGTATCAGTTGTAAGTCTGTAAAAACTTTAACCAATGTCAGCCACGAGGTACCAATCTGATGAACCAATCAGATGCCTCCCTGTCTCCCTGCTCGTTCTCTACCTCTTGCGTGCTCTAGCTCACACTCAAAGAGCCTCACTGATGACTTTAGGAGTTTATATTGTGAGTTTACTTACCGCTGAATGAGACCTGAGACAACATAGTTTCTACACAATGTAAGAGATGAGTTGGGGGGGGGGCTTGCAGTAGTCTGGTTCATTTTGTTTGCTTTATACACTTTTATTTTATTCATTTCACTCTCAGACTGTTATTCTTAAAATGTGCTGCTGACAGCAGAGAATCTATCTTATCAGGAACAAGGTGAAGTTATTTGTAACACGTTTCCTGTGGCAGGTCTTGAATCTCTTCCACGTCATCTCGGCAGGGAAACACACGTCGATATGTCTCCAAGCAACCAGCGCATGAAGACCTCACATATCCCCCAAACGTTGATGTCTGTACCCTTCTTACAGGTAACCACATAATGCTGGAGCTTAGATTTCTCTTTCCATATTTCATTATTATGTGACTAGTGAGTCTGCAGAGTCTGATCCCCTCATTTCATTTCCCTGTGTCAGCATCCAGCTCTTGCGACTGGACGAAGGCGTCACCTTTGCAGTATAGCAAATGTCTACAGCACAGAGCACATGAGGCAGCAGATGAAGAGACACTATCTGAATGTGCTGCACACATACATCCAATCAAGTGTGTATACTTCACATCTCAAAGGTAGACTTCAACCGCTGTCATCCTTCTCATGTTCTGTTTAATCGATCCCAGGACAGAACCCCTCCTGCAGAAGGTTTTTGGATCATCCGCTTAAAGTCAGGTTGGAGAGAGACGTGGGGAAGGTGAAGCCAGAGAGGCAACAGAGGAGCAGCAGTAGCGGCACAGCTTATTCCGTAAAACAAACTGAAACAAAGAGTTGTGTGTTTCATTTGAGAAGAGAGAAAGAGCATCCAAGAGTCTAAAGTTAAGATAGGGAGGGGTTCATCACTCTGAGACGCAGTGCTGGAAATAAAGGGCAACAATTCAAGGAAATGTTTTACAATAAAAAACTGAAATAATCGGGGGTTTTCAGCGTCTCCACCAGGGGTGTGCCCATACTCTTTTGAATGTGGGGCGGCTGTGGCTCAGTTGGTAGAGTCGGTCATCTCTCAACAGAGAGGTCAGGGGTTCGATCCCCAGCTCCTGCAGTCACATGTCCGATGTGTCCTTGGTCAAGACACTTAACCCCAAGTTTGTCCCGCTGTGGGGGGAGACAGCTCTCTACAATTTGGACTGCAGTACCTGTTTTAAACACTAGGTGTCAGAGAGACATTTTGCTCCTTTAGATTTCGGACAGATTCACGACATGCTGCCAAATGGACAATGTCTTTTTCAGGGAATTCAAGACAAGACAACCCTTACAACAACCCGGTGATAAACCAGCCTTCCTTCAGTCCAACTTTTAAAATAAGGCAATAGAGACCCTAGACTGTTGAACAGTTGAAATCCTACATCAAGCAAGAATGGGAAACATTACATTTCCAGAGTTACAGACATGTGTCTCCTCAGTTCCTGAACTCTTACAGTGTTGCTAAAAGAAGAGGACAGATCGGCTAAGGGGGGTAATCAGGACCTGGTCTGCTCTTTAATGAAACGTGCTGCTGGCCTCAAGAAAATAACGAGAAAAACAAATTCCCAGTTTCAATGTTTGTCTACTTGTCCTACTATTAAAACTCAGGTTTCAATGTATTCTATTTAATTTATTACAGTTTACACAGTTTACCAACTGATTAGGAAGTGGAGTTGTGTATGACATAAATATGATGAATGATTGTTATTTAGCCTTACCATTTGTTGGAGAGGACTTCCTTCATTTTCTTTCCTCTCCTTTATTTGTAATCAAAGTATTTCTGTTACAACGATGAGAAGCACATTATTACAGACTAAGCATGACGTAAAGATTAGAGGACTAAAACCACACAAATAAACAGAAAATAAGAATCAGAGTCTAATTTGTAGGAGGGCGCTGGTGGTCAAGTGGTTGATGGAGGCTGTGGTCCTCCAGGCGGGCGGCCTGGGTTCAATTCCGACCTGTGGCTCCTTTCCCGTGTGTCATTCCCCACGGCTGTCCTACTCTCTCTCTTTCCCAGACATCTGACTCTACTGTCCTGTCTCTAAAAAGCATTAAGAGCCCCAAAAGTAAACCTTCAAAAATACACACTAATGTGGAATTAAAATCTGTACGTTTTGGTTTATTTCTAAAACTTGTTTAGTGTTAGTATATGTTTAAGTTTATTAATTCATTCCTGAAAATAAAAAAACATGGTTTGACTTTCATAAATCTACATTTGTGTAAATATTGTTTTTTTGTTTAGCCTGAATAGTTAGTGTGTTATACTTTTGTTTTATTTATTTTAAATTCTTTTTTAGGAACCACTTGAGATGTTTCATGATTTTAAACAAAACAAGCAAAAACATAGCTAAAAAGTTAATATCAAATGATGATAAGGTATAAAAAGTCCAGGGAACCGACTCATTATATTCTAAGTTTGGTGACTTTAAGTCTTTTTCAGATATCCAAGTTTGAAATAAAACCCAAGAAGATTTTTGTGAATTCACAACCATAAAATAAATGTTTTAAGTTTTCCTTTTTCTATCACACAAACTTAGAAAAAGGGGGCAGTTTACACACAGTTCACAGTTCAGAAAGAGCAGACTGAGGAAGAAGATATGCCCGCAAACCCTTCGCTCAAAATCCACAAAAACTTTTATTCCATCACAATCACAACGTTTCGACCAGAGGTGTTCTTCAGGTGAGTTCAGAAAGTATGACATGAAGAACAACCTCGTTGTGACTGTGACGGAATTCAAACTTTTTGTGACATTTCAGCAAGTGTGCGGGATATAATCCAGGACATGAAAAATTACATTGCATGGTTTAATTTTTAATATCTTAAAATGTGTTATTTTGTTTTTGACAAAGGCCTTTTGTAATATATTAGAGGAAAAGTCCGCGCCAGGATCAGTTTTGCGCATGCGCAGTGCGCGTGTCCTTTATTATTTTCAGTCCGTTAT